AACGTGGGCTAATCCAGCTTCCGCTTTCGGACCCCGGCTCGACTACCATCTCGGTTCCTGGGGCTCCGGAGCTCCACCCGTGGGAGGTTCCGTCGTTCGTGCAAAATTATGGGTCGTACCCGTTTTGGTTTGATGTGGTTTTGAGACAATTCTCAAATATTGATCAAGTAGATTGGGTGTTGTGCAACATTTTCTATGAGATGGAGAAAGAGGTACGTAATCTATATACTCCCTCCGTTTCTAAATGATAGGAAAATTTTAGTCTCAAAATATTCACTCCATTTACCTTTTTCAACAATTATTAATATTAATTTTTTACCAAAATTCCCTCCAATTTGCAATAATATTTGTGCAAATTTAACTTTTCTATGTAAATTTTGTTTTCCCATGTACTTTATTAGTTTCTCTCTTTACTTTTTTGCATACCCAATGTCAATTTATCTTTTCAATGCACTTTAACTATTTTTATTTGTGTTTATTAATTCCCGTGAAAAATGCCCATAAGGGATTATCAAGAGGGGATGGAGGGAGTATGAAGTATTTGGTCCACTCATTTTTGTTATTGAATTTATTGATTGCAGTTATAGTACTTATCTGCAACTTATTTAATATCTAGTTAGAAATAAATTTTGTCTTCATTTGGAATTAAAAATACTCCGTATAATGGACAGTTTTGTAATGACTACAATAAAATTGTGGTCATTTTAAAAACAAAATCTACACTATTAATTTTATGTCAACTTAATTATGTGTAATAGGACCCATTGATAATGTCAAATTAATTGCTGCGAAAGCTTCATTGATAATGTCTATACAAAGTTTGAATAACTAATTAACATAAAATCCATCAAACAGTGCAACAATGATCAGGATGAGTTACGGAGAATAATATGGAGTAATTAAAACTATGAACTGTATAACTTAAAGTTGGAACAATTTTGTTTAGGTTATATTTTAATCTTATCCATGTATAATTGTATAAAACTATCTAATGTATAAAATCATACCTTTGTTTTTCAGATATAGGGTAGTATTTCATTGATTGTTTGGTTATATTATAATCCTATCAATATTAATTGTTCCTCTTTACCTATTAATGGAAATTTAAACTTAAGTTGAAAGATGGCTACTTCTACAACAATGGCAACGACAACCAATTTTAATTTTTTTTTTCCAAAATAAAGTAGTTTTTAAACTTTTTTTTTTAAAATAACTATAAGTCAAATGTAATGTATGAATTGACGTACAAGATTTATCATTAATATATAAACGGTTGAGATTGAAAACAGTTACAATAGCTACAATTTTTATATAACCATTGAAAAGTCTTCCATAATATCCTCGTCATTAAAGGTATATACTACGTATATGATTATAGTATGTTACTTTATAAGGTGTGGAATATTCATTTGTCGTTGCAACTAATGAAAAATAGAGGTGGTACTTTAATTTTATCTTAGACATGGCTTAACTCCTTGTTGAAAACTTGAACATGGACCACCTTTTAATCAACTTTCCTCTGCCCAATTTAGATCATGAAACTAGGCATATTTATATGAATATATGATTTTATTAATCGTCATTTAACATATGGTTTAATTTGGCATTTCTTTAGGGAGTTGATTGGATGGCTAAGATGTGGAAAGTAAGAACAATAGGACCAACAGTTCCATCATACTACCTTGACAAAAGACTAGAACATGACACAGATTACGGCCTTCAGCTAATCAAGCCAAATACCCTTTGCAAGAATTGGCTAGACTCGAAACCAAAACACTCCGTCATCTACGTATCCTTTGGTAGCGCGGCAAAGTTATCCGAAGAACAATTCGAAGAATTAGCACAAGGCTTAAAAAACAGCCACCTAAATTTTTTGTGGGTGGTAAGACAGGCAGAGCAGGAAAAACTTCCCAAGGGTTTTATAGACGAAGTTTCTGACCATGGTCTTGTGGTGGGATGGGCCTCTCAGCTAGAGGTATTATCCCACGAGGCGATAGGGTGTTTTGTGACACATTGTGGGTTTAACTCAATACTTGAAGCATTCTCCCTCGGAGTGCCTGTAGTGGGGATGCCTCAGTGGACGGACCAAGGGACTAATGCCAAGTTTGTAGAAGAGGTATGGAAAGTTGGTGTAAGAGTCAAGGTCGATGAGAATGGGATTGTGCAAAGAACACAAATAGAGGAACGCATTAGGGATGTCATGGAAGGTGAGAAAAGTGAAGAGATTAGGGAAAATGTGGCTAAATGGAAGAAGTTGGCTAAAGAAGCCGTTGATGAAGGTGGTACTTCTGATAAGAATATTGATGAGTTTGTGGCTTATTTAGCCGGATATTAGAAAGCTGATATAATGTAATATTACACTTTTGTTCATTTGTGGCTTGTCTAGCTGAATTTATAATTTTGTTACAACTCGTCTATTTATACGTAATTTTTACTGGCATCACATTTTTACTCTCACATTACACTCAAATTTCATGTTATTCACGATATAGAAAATCTATATATATTATCTTAATCTTTTAACGTTAAGTTAATCCATCGTCATTGTACGTATGTACTTCAAAGTTTTTTGGACTTTCTCATATTATTTTCATTGGCCCAATTCCAGCGGCTAAGAAGGTGGTACTATACTACTAAAATACACGTCTACTAGACTGAGACAAACACTAGTGTTACTAATGTAGTTTCGTTTCCAAATTTTATACAACTAGTCAACTCTACATCAACATTTTTTAAATTGAGATAAAACATAATAATTCCAATATCTAATGCAATTGTTGATGTCATCGCCAATGTCACACATGGCATATGTTGAATTTAACCTCGGTGTTGCTATTTTATAATGTGATTTGTACAACTTCTCATTAATTTACTTAATTTTATTATGTAATTTGTACAACTTTTCATTAATTTACTTTATCTACTTAGATATATATCCTTGAACATGGCTCTTCCTTCACCCTTCATCACCCCACCAAGAAAAACTTCATCTATACTAAGCTTGTAACCCCGAATTCATTGGTTACAGTAACAAATCGATTTTGTTTGACAAACTACGTACCAAACATAGGTCATGAACAATTACTTCCATTCAAAAACTCCGTGATCAACCATTATGGAGGTTACTAAGCAGGCCCATAAAGCCCATGTTCTTGTGTTTCCGTTTATAGGACAAGGCCATGTTAACCCAATGCTCCAATTCTCGAAACGATTGGCTTCTAAAGGAATCAAGCCCACCTTAATCACAGCCCAATACATTTTCAAATCTATGCAAACCACCACCATCCAAACCCAATTTGGCCCTTCGATTCAAATTCGATCCATATCCGATGGCTACGACGATGATGGAGGTAACCACCCGGAGTCTATTGCGGCCTACTTGGATAGCCTTCGGGTCAATGGGGCTAAATCTCTGGCCCAACTTATTATGAAGCTAAATGAGGAAGGCGACCCGGTTCAAGCGATCATATATGATGGGTTCTTACCTTGGGCCTTGGATGTTGCTAAGCAATTTGGGCTTGTTGCTGGGCTGTTTTTCACCCAGTCTTGTACAGTGAATAGCATTTACTACCATGTTCAACGTGGGCTGATCCAGCTCCCTCTTACGGGTCCTGACTCGATTAAAGTCTCGGTTCCTGGGGCTCCGGAGCTCCACCCGTTGGAGGCTCCGTCTTTCGTGCACACTTATGGGTCATACCCGTTTTGGTTTGATGTGATTTTGGGACAGTTCTTTAATATTGATCAAGCAGATTGGGTGTTGTGCAATATCTTCTATGACATGGAGAAAGAGGTAAATCCTACACGGCTAAACTAATATTTGGTGCTCAAATGTGAACTCTTGTTACAATTGGATATTTGTAAATGTTACTTCTTTTTTTTGTAACATAAGGTCATACTACTCATATACATGTCCTTTTTTCACTCTAAACTCGTATTTGGATGTATTAGACTTGATGTTACCTTGTCTAAAATTAGAGTGTCCTTAAAGGCATTGGGATAACGTTGATGTTGATATTGATCGTGATTTAACTCTTATACTTTGTCTCGTTCTTTAGGTCGTTGATTGGATGGCCAAGTTGTGGAAAGTAAGAACCATAGGACCAACAGTTCCGTCATATTACCTTGACAAAAGACTAGAAGATGACACAGACTACGGCCTTCATCTCCTCAAGCCTGATACAACCTTATGCAAGAACTGGCTCGACTCCAAACCAAAAGGCTCAGTCGCCTACGTGTCTTTTGGAAGTGCAGTTGAATTGTTTGAAGAACAATTCCAAGAACTAGCATGGGGCTTAAAAAACAGCCAAATAAATTTCTTGTGGGTTGTTAGAGAATCAGAGCAAGCAAAACTCCCAGTAGGGATCATAGACGAAAATTCTAGGCAAGGTCTTGTGGTAGGATGGGCCTCCCAACTGGAGGTATTAGCCCATGAGGCGACAGGCTGTTTCGTGACACACTGTGGGTTTAACTCGGTCCTGGAAGCACTGTCCCTCGGCGTGTCAGTGGTGGGTGTCCCACAGTGGACAGACCAAGGTACTAATGCTAAGTTTGTGGAGGATATATGGGGAGTCGGCGTCAAAGCCAAGGTAGATGACAAGGGGATTGTGCAAAGAAAGCAATTAGAGGAATGCATTAGGGAAGTCATGGAGGGTGAGAATAGTGAAGAGATTAAGAACAATTTGAGTAAGTGGAAGAAGTTGGCTAAAGAAGCAGTTGATGAAGGTGGAAGTTCTGACAAAAACATTGATGAATTTGTAGCTTATTTAGCAGAATCTTAAATATTGATGATAATATTTCAGAGGAAATTCATTGTATAAAATATGGTTGTATGGTTCTTATATATGATTGATATGTTTATTTTTCTTTACCTGTTACATATTCTTCCAATGCTGTGTTAAAAGATATGTTCTTCCTGAAATCTTATTATCATATTCTGCATCAGATTCCAAACAAACATGAAAATCGAGTAAATAACATCCTCATCTTCGTTAAATTTGTAATTACATGTAAATAATACTTCATATTATAGTGTAATACATTGTAATTAACCCGCGTGGTATGACTAATATGATTTTACAACGAACTCACAAAAAAGATATAAATTAAGGAAATAAAAAGGGTGGAAATACAAAAGAAAAAAATGTAATAACAAAAATGAAAATAGAATCATCTAAACTGTGACTGTCTTCCTCTGTTAGACCCTTTAATAGTACATTCTTTAGGAAGGCCTTCATGAAATCTCATCTTATCATTGCAATAATTGTAAGTCATGTAATTCTGTTGCACCCGTCTCATTTTCCTTAAACTCTTTGAATCCAACTCCGCCCTTAACCAAGCATTCTCAAAACCCGACGATTCAGAATCCAAGTCCTCTGACCCACACGACGAGGATCCATGAGACCAAACACAAGAACTCGATATAAAGCTCTTAAAAGAGGCAACAAATGGAGCTTTGGACCAATCAGTATGCACTTTTCCACCTTGTGTAGCCCAATCATCAGCATTCCACAAACTCGAAAATATTCTCATGGGCTGTTTATTTGGGAAAGGCACACCAAATACTTCCATGTTGTTAAACTCTCTAATTGGCGTATCATCTACGAAGAACGCAATTCTAGCAGGGTTCCACAGAATCGAGTATTTATGAAAATCCGCGGTAGGATCAAACCACAAGTAAAATTGTTGCTCGCGATTTCCCTTCCCTTGACAGTATATATTGGTGTGTATAGTATAAGGCTGGCCACTCACATTACCTAAGAACTCGAAATCTATCTCATCATGGGTGGATCCATTTGAGGACATGTAAAAAGTCGTGACAGTACCAGCAGAGTTATTAGGAATGAGCTTAATCTTCATATCAATCTTTGCAAACAGAAATCTGTTCTTAGACTCAAATCCTGAACCCGAGTTTTTATCTAGGGAAAGAGTAAGAAGCGTACCATTATCATGAAAATTTCCTCTACCATTGCCCCAAGCAATATCAAAGTCTCGGGCTAAGCCGCCTAGGACCTCAGCTTTCGGAGGAGAATGGAGTACTGCTTTATCATTGGAGCGAGGAGGTGGTTGCTCCATCGTCGGAATCTCATGGAAATACATGTCATTGGAATCGTATCGTTGAGGTAGAAGAATAGATGAAGGAAGGGTAGTTTTGATTTGTTCAGATGGAAGAGATTTATCTTGGAGTGATATTGAGGTCTGTAATGTGAAATACACACATAAGATCACGGCTAAGCCAATGAAAGTATGAAGAGAGCATATTGATGGCAAAAACGACGACGAAGATGAGCGATGCATATGCATTTGAAAGTGATTAAGGGAGCAACACAGATCTAATCTGCTCCCTCTTTTCAAAGTCAATGATGAAAACAAAAATAATCTAACTTAATATTTCCTCTGTTTTCTTGCTCTTGAATGTAAGACTAACAAGATCAGCTGAACAATGTAAGAATTAAGAGAGATCTAAGAGAAGAAAGGCGAAAAACGAAATCGAATACGAGAATTTGTGAAGGGAAAAAAAAGGAAAGATTGGAATAGAGGAGGGTGTTTTTTGTGTGGTAAGAGAATAGTATTTTCCCATGAAATTCGTGGTCTTACTATATATAGTTTGAGAAAGAATCAGACCAAATGAAAATAAACAAAGAGTAAAGAAATAAAAAAGTTTTGTTAAGATTGTGACATTGAATGTCTTAGGCATACAGAGAAGCACCTTCACATCTAAAAGACGTGTGAGCGCCTATTTACATGATATGAAAACATGCAGTCTACTAGTTGATGGTAATGTTGCCAAAACAAAATTAAAAATTAAAAGTTGGTGGTACTTAATTGTCTGTTAATTATATGGTACAGTAGCATAATTGTGTTTGATTGGACCGTGTTGAATTACGCTTTTCCGTTTCTTACATACTACGGGGTACTAAACTAGCAACGGAGTACTAAACTAGCAGCATTTTTATTTTCACGTTTTTTTTTAATTTTATATTATACGAAGTATATAATTTCACTCATTAATATCTTAATGATATAAAATGTTGAGATATTGTGAAAATATATTTTGAAACAAACCTAATACGGAGTACAATACTCATAATCTTATTTTCTTACACTATTAAGTTTTCTTTAAGTTACGTGAATAATGTAAAAGTCAAAGTGTTGCAAAAGTTAGATAAAAAATAAAGGAAATAAAATAATTTTCACCGAATTGAAAAAAAAAAAAAAAAAAAAAAAAAAAACCATGTTACATGAATCAAAGAATATACGGAACATTTATGAAGTCTGTAGCAGTTGAAATCAAAATAAATTTGACTAATTAAAAATATGAAAGTTGACAAAATCAAAATCTAAACAAACAAGTGATGATTCATGATTATTGATTAATTGGTTATAGTTAATGGAGGAGCATTCAATAATACGAGTATACGAGAATTGCATGTGATGAATCTGATGGTGTGGTCTACTTATTTTAATCTGCAACTTCAGAAACTACAAAAACAATTTTTTATTTTTTATTTTTTATTTTTTATTTTTTATTTTTTGGCCAAGAGAGAATTCTTCAAACTAAGAACAAAAGGTATTTAAATAGCAGAAGGCCCAAGTTCTAATAGTTACATATCATGAACTGAATGCTTCAGTAGGTTGGCATCTAAAACTGTTAACACACCACCACTATATATACCAACCCAAATGGTTCAGCTATCCAACAACAGCCCAATTCAGACAGTTACGAAAACGGAAAAAACCGTGTTGAGTAAGTCTGTCGCGGCCTACTTGAATAGCATCAAATCAACGACTCAAAAAATTATTAAGAAGCTAACATAAGGGCGGAGCTGGAGACAGTGGTAAATAAACTTAACCTATTGATAGATTTGGAGTTTTGGTCTATAAACATGACATTTTACAAATCATCAATGTACTGCTAATACTTGATAGCTACCTTATTGTCATAGTACTTCATTAACAAATGCTTTTGGCAAACCGCAGTACTAACAGCTCATAATAATACCTTGACAGAAGTCTAGAAGATGACAGAAACTACAGTCTCCAGCTCTTCAAGTCAACACAGCCTTCTGCAAGAGCTGACTGAATTCTAAACCAAGAGACTTCATCGAATACGACGTCTTCAAAAGCACAGGCCAATTGTCCAAAGAACAATGTGGAGAATCAGCACAAGGTTTTAAAAACAGACACCAAAAATTCTTACAGGTGGTAAGAGAATCCTGTAGCAGCCAAAACTTCCGATGGGATTAACAGATGAAACTTCTAGGCAAGGCCTGGTGGTGAGGTCCACGGATCATGGCCTACAAGGCGATAAGCTGCTTTCTGATGGAGTTTAGCCCAGTCCTCGAAGCATTGTGCCTTGAGGTACCAGAAATGGGGGGTTCCACAGTATACAGACCAATCCACTAATGCTGAGTCTCTGGAGGATGTATGGGGAAATGGGAACAGAACCGAAAATTATGGAAAAGGAATTGCAAAAAGAGAGGAGGTGGAGGATGCATAAAGAAAGTGATGGAAGGGAATAGCTTAGGAAGAAGTGAAAGTTCAGACTGAGTGGGTGAACACTTCTTGCTCTATAAGTTCCTTGACTAGTCACTAATTTATCAACCCTGTACAATTACATTAATAAAATACATCATTACAAAGTTGTTACTTCCCCTCCCCTTATACAATGATACAGGTGGGCAGGTGGGCAAGTTGCAATGACATTAACCACATCCGCTACTTTAGTTTAGGGTATGCCTGGATTGAAGCAGTCCTAATTCTATACAGTGCACTCTCTCAAATCCTATTACCAAAATGGTCATTTTAAGTATAACGGATATTGGAGACACGGCTACAGAAAAATGGAAGAGCACAATGCCCACAAGGCCACAACTTTGTGGTTCTGTTTCCGGTCAAGGACATGTGTATCCCATGAACTTTTCTCCTAGTCTCCAAAGGCACCAAACCTACTTTATTCCCCAGAGCCTAGCCTACAATATCTTACAAGGTGCCAACACCCCAATTCATCAAGGCCTGCTAATCCAACTACGATCTGCTTGACTTCCACATGGATATTATCCAAGCTGGCTAATCAGGGTTAGAGACCTAGAGTAGCATTGGTCTAGAAAAATATGAATTTTATGGCTGGTTGTTTATCTTCATCTGGCCTAAACAGAGGTTAAAAGTAGATTACAAACAAATAAATTGGCTGTTTTACAAGGATAATGACAGAAAAAGAGCATCTGACTCGATCTTAACTGTTTCAGTGTCAGCCCACATTTTCTTCACTATTGTCCGATAAAATGCAGAAGCCATTAAAAGTTGAATTGAGAAGAAGTGATTTTGAGGAGATGGAAGTGAACAAATGCACAAGACAAGTACTAAGGAAAAGATGAATGAAAAGATCAAAAGAAAAATTCCCAACAGAAAAGTTGGCTTAAACAACAATTATGATATAGAAGTGCAGAAGAGTATAGGTAACAATTCTGTTTTTATGGTTATGAAACATAACATTCTCACAACCAGCCAAACCCAAGAAAATAGTGATACAAATGAAAGTGAGGCCAAGCTTGTAAATATATGGTTTCAATTCCAAAAAAAAAATATTCTGTACATGGATCACATGGAAGAGAGCATATGATAATTGAACAACACAATAATATTTACGTTTACGTGTCATTGGAAATGATACCTTTATAAATGAAATAATCACTGATCGGATTTTGCTTCTTGAGCAACAATGAGCTCTTGTATGTCATCATCGCCGGTATCCATTTGCAACATAATTTCAGCATCAGTTGAGAAGTGATACCTCTCCCCAATGGCTCTTAGAAGTTGGTAAACTTCAAACATTGAAGGCCTCTCTTTGGGATTCAAGGACACACAATTACGAGCTACTTTGAAAATCTGTGAGATTTCGTGGTCAACACCCTTCCCAACCAATGATTTGTCAATGGCATATTTCAAATTAGAGTTCTTTGTGAGTTCTATAACCCAATCCACCAGGGTACCCTTGAAGCTTTCAGGGGCTTTAGTCACTTCATTTGGCCTCTCTCCAGTTACCAACTCGAGGAGGACTGTTCCAAAGCTATAAACATCTCCCTTTGGAGTAGCAACCAAAGTTCGCGAGTATTCTGGCGCCACATAACCTATATCCCCAAATTCTCCATTGACAAAGGTGCTCAAATGTGTATCAATGGGGTTCATGAGCCTCGCAAGGCCAAAGTCAGATATTTTTGGCTCAAAATCAGAATCTAGTAAGATGCACTTAGAGCTTATGTTCCGATGAATGATGCGAGGATTGCAATTATGATGAAGCCATGCTAATCCTCTAGCTGCCCCTATGGCAATTTTGAGTCGTGTTGGCCATTCCATGGAGCAACCATCTTCTCCCTGATGCAACTGATCATAAAGAGTACCATTTTTCATGTACTTGTAAACTAACAATTTCTCCTTACCAGCAAGACAGAAACCTATGAGGGGAACTAGGTCGCGATGTTTGACACTCCCAAGTGTAGCCATTTCAGACACAAATTCTTCCTCAGAGTGTTGAGTGTCCTGCAACCTCTTTATCATGTACATACTGCCATCATCTAGTCTTGCCTTATATATAGTCCCCATCCTTCCTTCACCAATAATATTATGTTTACTGAAATTATCTGTTGCCTTCATGAGATCACTCAGTCGCATTTTCGAAATAGAATTCTCAAATAAGGACACCTATACATCATAACGTAATTTCTCAGTGCTATGATGGTAAAGATTAGTACACTTCCGTAGTAGCATCAAACAACAATAACAAAAATAAACCATAAGGAAACTGGAATATAAGCTATAAATAAAATTTGAATCGGTTTTACCTTAATTTTCTTGATCCCTTTTATACTCTTTGCCCATTTGTTTCCTTCAGGATCTTCTTCTTTTTTCTTTACTGGGACTCTACGTGCACAGAAGAACATAGCTAGGCCTACTCCTATGGCACCAACAGTCACTCCAGATACTGCAGCAGCAACAATAACTCCAGTATTGGACTTTCCTGATGATTTCTGACAAGGGCTTAGAGAAGGTCCACAGAGCCCTGGGTTGTTGGAGAAATCAACATCGATAGTAGAATTAAAGCGTGGGACTTGCCCAACCAAGAGATTATTAGCAACAGTAAATCTTTTGAGCCGGGAAAGCTGGCCTAATTCTAGAGGAATTTGTCCAGAAAATTTGTTGTGGTCAAGTTGGATAACATTGAGATAGCTGCAGTTGGCAAGGTTCTCAGGTATCTCACCTGAGAACCTATTTGAGGAGAGAACAACTGAAGTCACATACGGCATGATTTTAGAAACATTAGCAGGAATTACTCCGTCAAGTTCATTAGAGGACAGGTCCAAGTGCTGTAGATTGCTGCAGTTATAAATCCCAAGAGGGAAGCTGCCCCTCAATCCCATATTTGAAAGTCGGATGGTCAACACCCTATCCTCATTCGGAGCCCAGCAATCTATCCCAGTGAACGAGCAAATGAATCCTTTCGTAGAATTGCTAAAATTCCAGGAAGAGTTCAAGATATTATTGGGATCCTGCAAGGATTCTTTTATGGACCTCAAGCATGCAATATCATTCTCATTTCCACAGCTTAAACCACTCATCAACAAAAACACTAGATAAAATCCAAGAAAACCAGATATTTCTCTTTGATTCGACCCCATACGAGTTACGAGGCCCATCAAACACCTTTAGATTGCTGTAAAATCTATGTCAGAGCTTATAATTGACACCAGAACCTCTGATCTCCATATTACAAGAATATCCTGCAAGAATCTGAATAAAACACATAATTACAATCTCCATTTAGAAACTCAGTATACAAGTATAAGGAAATAGCTCATACCAAATATATGCAGTATAATAGAACTAAAAAAACAAAAGACTAGTCATAGACTCACAATAATCCTTGAGTTAACCAAATTCATCAAATAACCTAAATCAAAAACCTTCAATCAATTACTATACAACATTACAACATAACCAATTCATAAAAAATTTACTGAAATTAATCAATGGTTGGAAAGTAAGACTGCAATTTTTATCACACACCTAACCACAAGGTGATAAGGTACACCCGAGTGTATAATGGACACTCCCAAGAAAGACGGATTAATGTATAATATCACAAATAATAGCCAATATATAGACAAATCTTTGAAGATTTGAACTAAGACGTATAAGAGCAACTTCAATAATTATAGCTTATGGCTTAAGAAAATTTCAAAATTAAACAAAAAGTTTGCAACACTCACCAGTTCACCACAACTTGGCAATAAACCTGGGATTAAACTAAAACACCCAACAAATTTAACAAAAAACAATTACAAGAAAATAGCATAACTTTAATAATGGTAGTCAAATAATGTGAAAATAAAGATTGATTTCACATAGATTAACGTTAGAATTTAGACTGTTGACTAGTGCATAGACCTTGACTTGGTGAGGGAAAAAAAATCCCCCTTTTTTTTTTTTTGCCAAATCAACTATTATTGATTAATTATCAATTATTAATCAAGGTTAGTTAGGGGAATAATCAGAGCTTAAAACATACAAGAATTACACCCATTTGCTAATTTAACTAAATACCCAAATTTTTGCTCTTTTGTTCTGGGGTTAGAGGCGTTGCTAAGCAAATATACAAGAAATTCTTGGAAAATACTGCGAAGAAAAACAAAGTAAACTTACATGAAATTATAGAAATGTATGGTTAAAAGAAGAGAAGTTTCTGCAAGTGGAGGTTGATGTTAACTGTAATGGAAAACAGAGAAATGGAGAGAGAGAAAGAGGGGCTAATTTTCCACACAATGCCCCCAAAGTTGTTGTTTGGTCTATAGTCAAATTAAAGGAACGATATTAAACCGATTTGCACTGCACCCATATGCAAAGACTTATTGGTCAACATTGGACTTTCTATTATATCTTCGGATGTATAGGTAGTAGGGCTGTTCATCGGTCCAAGACCGGATCAGACCGAACTGACCCGGATTGGACCGAAGACCGGACCGATTAAGTTAGGACCGAACCCGGACTGGACCGCTTGGACCGATTTAAGAATTTTTTTAAAAAGAATACTAAATTTTTTATAAAGTTTAGGAAAGCACAAAAAAAGTATTGGAAAAACTATATTGTAACGTCATTTTTACGTCTTTTTTTTGTATGTTTAGTGCAAAAAAGCTTATAAATTTAAAGTTTTCTAAGCTTATTAAGGATGATTTTAACCATTATTTAAGGTTTCACACATATTTTTAATAAAAAATCGGTCCAGTCCAAAACCGTTTTTATAGGGTTTTGGACCGGACCGAAAAAATGAATTTCAAGACCCGAAGACCGGACCGATTAATTCGGTCCGGTCCGGGGTGGTCCGGTCCATTTTTTCAGGGTCCGGACCGATTTATGAACACCCCTAATAGGTAGACTCTGTAGGATAATCCGTATATATTTATAGAGTAAAAATATTTTTTAATTATATATAATCATCGGAAAATTTCTATTATATGTTTGAATGTATAGCTATATATAGTTGTTAATAATTATTAATTATATATAATCAAAGGTTTTAAAATAAGTAAATAAAAATCAAATGCCCCAATATTAGGTATATCTAAATGCATGTAACATTTGAATTGTTGAAAAAAAATAATTAAAATGTTGAAAAATGTGGAAATGATCAGCTACATTACATATGACTTAATAGTCAATACCCATCAGGCCATCACTACGTCAAATGGAGCTACTAATCCTTTAATATAAAAAAAAAAAATCAAAAAAATTGTGATTCAAACTCGGCTTATGGTTCTTTACGCGAAATAATACATCATGTTACATCCACTAATTATTAAATTAATCGACCCAAGTAAAATTCGTGCAAGAAATATGTGTATCCATTAAAGTAGTTCTTAAACTTGGTGCAAGAAATATGTGTATCCATTAAATTTTAGATTTAATAAGTCCAAATAAAATTTGTGCAAGAAATATGTGGATCCATTAAAGTACTCCTTATAATTTAGGATAACATTTATTCAAACATACATGAATTGTAAGAGCCTAAAATGAACATGCTTTGATACCAATTATTTTCGAGCAGCCATACGCTCATATTGAGCAAAAATTCTGCATTGAATGCAAAGATAAGGAAAAAGAAGAAGAAGATTTCATCCATCAAAAACTTAGAAATTAAAACCTGAACTAATTATGATCAAACTCATACTACTAAGGCTTGCAAGGCTTGAGAGGGTAACCACAAAGCCCAAGATTATTAGCATAACTTGTTGCATTAAACATCCTCCCATTAACAAAATGAGGAATAGGTCCAACCAAGAGATTATTAGCAACACTAAACTTTGAAACCCTTTGAAGCTCCCCAATAGCATCCGGTATCCGACCCGAAAATCTATTATGATCAAGCTCAAGCGCATTCAAATAGGAGCAATTTCCTAGACTAGCCGGGATCTCACCCGAAAATCGATTAGATGACATCTTAAGAGTGACCAAAAATGGCAGCATAGTAGAGATGTTACTAGGAATTGACCCATAAAACCGATTGTGCGAGAGATTTAAACTTTGTAACCCACTACACTTGGAAATTTCACTTGGGAATTTGCCCTTTAGGCCGAAATAAGAGAGGTTCATGCCTAGAACTCGATTTTCCATAGAATTCCAACATATAATACCGTTAAATTTGCATATAAATCCTGGTAAATTTATGTTGGGATTATCAAAATCCCAAGATTTTAAGAAGTTGTGTGGATCTTCAAGGGAGTGTTTAATGGACTTCAAACAAAGTACATCATCCTCGTCAATTGGTGCCGTATTTTCGCTCATAGTTGTACTCAGCATCAATGTTGTTATTACGATGCTGAAAAAGAATTTTCGTGCCATGGTGTCATGCTTCGACTTTTTAACGTGTGACTTAATTGAGCCTATGTATGAACTAACTATGAAGTATTACATAACTTGTATACCAAAATATATATGAGAGGAAAAAACAAATAAAAGAGAAAGCTTGAATGATGGATATGGACCGTACCTCTTAGGCTTTTTATACACAATTACTAGGAAATGCGAAATAATGTCTACAAAAATCTTCGTCTACTGATCTTTGGCTTGGTCAATAGTTACAAATTGCTGTATTTTTTTGACCATTTGAATAGTCCAGTGACTCCAGTCCCTTTCTTCTCGTTCATTGACTTTATTGGCATGGTGCTACCGTATGACGACTTACGGGTTATTTTTAAACAATTTTTTTAAAAAAAATATATAGATTTTAATAATTTGTATTTTTAATTAATTTTTTAAACACGGAGTAATATTTATCAATTTGCTTTCTTGCACTTTAAACGAGCTAGTCATTTTTTTTAATTTCATTTTAGCAATAGTTAAAGGTTAAAAAATAATTTGGGTTAAAAAAAAAAAAAAAAAAAAAAAAAGGTTATAAAATAATTTACTTTTTCAAAACTATACATCAAGATAGTATCACATAAATTTTTACGTAACTATGTTTATTGGCTATTCATGCATATTGCCATATTGGTTATATTTCATACTTCATAGTCAAACTTTGAGCTTAATCGAAATTACAAAAAATGAGTACATCCTTCGACTTAAAATTAAGGGAAGGGGATAATATAGTGATGGGATGATGGATATTACATGCTTTAAGAGATCTAGGGTCGTGAGGTGCTTATTTTTTAGGTTTGTTGTTATGAGTTTGAACTAATAGTGGGCCAAAGTGATTGGGCGGGGTCAGTGGCGTATCTAGGAATTTCGAATTGCGGGTTCGGAATCTTAAAAAACAAACGATGCTCATATATTAATTAAATATTCAATACATAAGTTCAATTTTTTTTATTGCAAATGGATGGATTAAACAGTTACAAAATAAAAAATTAAAAATAAAAACCCTACAAAAGCATTTTTCGAGTTTTATACTTTAAAAGCGTGCTAATACACTAGTACTTCTATAAATGATAAATCTATAATTCTATTGCAAAAAATCAATATTACTCATAAAACAAAATTCCAAGTCCCCAATAAACACAAATTTGACAATGGAAAATTTTTCTAGTTATCAATTAAAAGACCGAGTAAAAATTTTAAATTCTAAGTTTCTAAAATTCAATTTGTCAACAATTCAAGTATTCAACAATATATCAAAACTAATTAAACAAATCAGTAATTAATCTAATTATTACTAATTTACAAAAAATAAAGATTTAAGAATTAAGAGGAGTAGAGGAATAAGAGGATTGTTGAAACTAATACGTACGAAAGGATAAAAATAATAATAATAATAATAATAATAATAATAATAATAATAATAATAATAATAATAATAATAATAATAATAATAATAATAATAATAATAATAATAATAATAATAATAATAATAATAATAATAATAATAATAGATAAGTATGAAGCAAGTAAAATAAGGAACTCAATAATATTTCTTCATGCTTAATTCACCAAATACAAGAGCCATATATGTAGGCTAACAAACAACAAATAATAAGCTAAAAAACTGAAAGTATAATGCCATGATTAAACCCACTAAATAAACTCATTAACTTCTAAATTCATTTGACTCTCTAACTTGACAAAAGGACCAACATACTACTCCTAAAATTACTGACCCAACTATTGACAAACTCAGGAAGAACAACGGAAGAAATTGAAAGGAAACAAAACAAAAAAAAAAAAAAAAAAAAAAAAAAAAAGAATAAATGAGGGCAACTGGTCACGAACCCATGATCTAAAAGGAGCATCACTACTATATTAGTCACTCCCTTACCAATGTGCCAGACTTACTTATTTGGTTATTTACTTCAAAAAAAAATTCTTTTAACTTTTTTTTCTTTTTTTTTTAAAAAAAAAATCAAAACTTATAATTTTTTTTCAAAAAAAATCCGGGGGTTCATTAAACCCCCCTAGATCCACCCATGGGCAGGGCCGTCCCAACCTTTTTGGAGGCCCTATGCAGGAATGAAGTGTATAATTTGGTTGATGGCGAGATTAGATTCACTATCTCCAACTATACACTTAAGATCATTAGCCACTAGACCACAATTAGTATGTATGTATATTTAATGCAACATATTTTATTTATTTATTTTAACAGAGTTAAGTATAATGTTGGGTACTAACATTTACAATTTTTCACCTTTTGGGTACTCAAGTGTACAGTCCGGTGATAAAGTTAGTACCTTAGGTTAAAAAAATTAGTACCTTGGGTTAAGAAATAAAATCAGCAAAAAATGTTAGTACCCTATTAATTGCGACTAACATATGATTGGATGGGGGCCTCTAGGGTAAATACACGTGTCCATGGGGAAGCGGAAAATTCTGCTGCCAATGACTTAAATCAGTGGTCCAAAATTAATTCTTTCGTATTTCTAACAGTGCGCATGTTTTAACCAGGTTTTTTTTTCTTAACAATCCCTAATTCACTTGTACATATACATTACAGCAATAACCATAAGTAGAGTTAAGATTACAATCCTATAAAATGAAATATGATTCTTCCTGATTTCTTCCATTTCAAGTAGCCTGTCATTGCTCTGCATCAGTTTTATCATTTTGTATTTCACTTCCCATTCATAATCATCATCAATCCACTCCCAAAAATCACATCCATTAGACTTCATGTAATTTTGGCATGTATGAAATCTCCTAAAAGGATTTTTGGTTGTTCTTGAAATTCTCCGAGCAACCCGTCTGGAACATCTACAAAAATTAGTAACACTAGCCATTCCTACTTCCTTGCAGAGACCGGAGAACAAACTTGAAGGAATGAAGACTTGTTGATGGCTTCCTGTTGTTGCTTTATGTTGCTAATATGAATTTTTTTGTTTTATTTTTAAATTCAACGGCTAGTTGTATATTTGAAGCAGCCTCATCAATTTTTGGGAATTTAGTATTTTTGTTTTAAAAAAATTTGGAATACATTTATATGATCATATTAATCAAGGTACTCACTTATTTCTAACGTTTTTCATGGAGAGGACTAACTTTTTTTGCCAAATAATTGAAAGAGGGGACTGACTTTTTCTCCGGTGAGTTTATGTTGAGTTAATTGGTCGGAAACTTAACTAGAGTACCCAAAAAGTGAAAAAAAAAGTAGGAGTACTCAAAAGGTGAAAAAATTAAAATGTTAGTACCCAACATTATACTTAACTCATTTTAACACTTGAGGCCCCAACTAAATTTGTGCCACTGGCTGCACACGGTAAGGGTCGGCCTTGTGCCCTTGTGATTGGGGAGAGCGGAGGCTTTTTTTTTTTTTTTTTTTTTTTTTTTTAATGTTAGCAACAAGGGGAATTGTTCACATGATTATGTTCATTCATTTTAAATTTATTCGTAAAATATAATATCTATTTATCAAACATTTTATATAGGTTTTTAAAATTTTCATACATACAAGTTATTATTGGACATATATAACAGCTTTTGGTTGAATGGACTTATGATAAAATATACTCACCAAATACTTTGTCTTAATTAATAAGAATGATAATGGTTTAGAATCTTTAAAAACCTTAGCCTCTTCTCTCTTTTCTCTATCCTAAACTTTAGCCTTCTTTGTTATTTTGAAAGGGCTTTCATTGGTAGAATTCCCCACTCCCAATCTTTATTTCTTTTTAGTTTTTTATTTCTTAGGTTATAATAATGTCTCCCTTGAAAGAAAGAGTTTATTACAATCGGAAAAAAAAGGGTAATAAGAATAATGATAATTATTCATATACGGTTTACATAACATGTTTTGTTAAAAAAAGTGACGAAGCACTAGACTCGTCAAACTCCAATTGACATATATTCCCTTGTCCCTTAATACATGACACAGTCAATTATTGCACACATATCAATGCATTAGTTTGACTCTATTTTTATATAATTAAATATTAATAAAAATTATTTTTAAAATTATATTATGAAACTTTATATTAAAACCTATATAACAACACTTTTTATGATAAGATATATTTTTAATATGTAAGTAAAAAATTATAGTCAAAACTAATGCATGAATAGTGAAAAAAAGTCACCCGTCTCATGTATTATGGGACGGAGGGAGTAGTATTATTCATATATATCAGAATGATGGATGAACTTCACATAAATTTCCAAATTAACAACAATTTATCAATTGTCAAAGTGAAACCAAATCAGATTAGAGTATAATTTAATGTTTGTGTTTACTTATATTATTGCTAAACATCTTTAATTTTGTGATTTTAAAAAAGTGAAAATTTTCATTTATATAAAGTGTATATAAATACAAATCTAATAATAACATTTCATATACAATATATTTAATAAAATTAGAGTAAAAAAAAAGTTTAAGGATCTATTCTCTTCAGCTTATTTTCAGTTTAGTTCCTAATTTCCTTCTCTTATAAAATATTTAGTTTAGTTCAGTTTCAATAAGTTCAGTTCACCTTAGTATAGTTAATCAGAACATGCCCTAAGTTAAAAATAAATATAAAATTATAGCAAAACAGATGAACACATAACCTTAAACGAAAATTAAGAGGATATTGAATAACCAAATAATACGAAGCTACTTATGCTATTCAAATTTTCATAGCTAATGATGGAATACATACATGAATTAAGTTAAGTTTGGTTTAATGGGAAAGATTACATCTTACAACATCGAGGTTGGAGCTAAAATTTAAAACCGGTCGAAAAAGAAAACTAGAACAAATATTTAAAAAATTAAAAATGAGGAGAATACTCTGTAAAAAAATACGTAGTACTTGGTAAAATACGAAGTAGTAAATCTAGTAATGATTGCATACACGAAGCTAGCTGCTATTCGGACATATTTGGCATAGCCTCATAAATTAACCCATTTGTGATTTTCTGACACAAGACACAAGGTGATATTACAGCTAGGAATCAAAAATACAGTGTTACTTCTATTTAGTACAGGACAGTACAGTAATCCGTAGCATACACTTGTAGTACAGACCTTTGGACTGATGCGAGTTTAGTGTATGACTTTAGATGCTAAATTGCCTTAATTGAATGGGAGTTTGTTAGAATTGTCTTGGTCGATATTTTTAAATACTTTGTTCAATTTTTTCACATTTACTCATTGATATTTCAAAATATTAATGCGGTTTATATTTTTAAATACATTATTCAATTTTTTTTTTACATTTTTACTCAATGATATTTCAAAATATTAATGGTTATAGTTATATACTAACAAAATTAAAAGTTCAATTGATGTATGTAAAATCTTACTATATAATGACAAAAATATAATCGCTAAAATGGAAATTAAATATTATAGGCTATAAATATTTTTCATAAGGAAAGAGAAAGAGTGGAGGGAAAATTTTTAACCAGTGCATGACATGTATCATCACTGTTTTCGCTTTTAGTATTAAGTTATTGATTGATGATTATTGGTACTAATACGAAAGAGTATGCTTAATTATGGGTCTGTTCATATTTACTTATTTTCACTTCAGTTCAGTTCAGCTCCAATCAGTTCAGTTCAGTTCAATTCAGCTCCAATCAGTTCAGTTCAGCTTAGTTGTTAATTTTCATAAACATTTTCATATATTTTTATGCATTTTAATTTTTCAGTTTAGTTTAGTTCAGTTCAGTTCAGCTCCAATCAGTTCAGTTCAGCTCAGTTCAGTAAATATGAACAGGCCCTATGTCAAAATCATAATATTGCAATTAAATGAAGCAGAGGAAATTTATACGAAATACTTATTGTCTAGATTTTTATTATACCAAGTATGTATTGTATACTCCCTTCGTGATTAAATAAAGGGAAATGCTTTTCTTTTATGTCTATGTTTACATAAATAAGCGTTTTCGTTTTTATTAACAACTTCTCTTTATTTTTTTTTAATAATATTCTATCAACGAATGATCCTCACAAAACCTCCTACTTTCTTATTTGTTTTCAAACTTATAATATGACTGTATGAGCTTATCAACCTTTTTACAAACTTATGTAAACTTTATTCTTCATATACGTCATAGTCAATATAGAAGTAAGTATAAGTGAAAATAATGTAGAAAATACAGGACCATAGATTAACAATACGACAACAAAAAAAAAGCTTAAGAAGCAACGAGAATTAATGGCAACAGTGATAGAAGCATTAAGGTGGGAATTTGAAATTACGCGGCGCCAAAATACAGAAAATCTTTGTTTGTTCCATCTCTCTCTAGTCTCTGAGTCTCTCCTCTCCAATTAAGACAAGTCTCTGAATGTTCCAGATAGAAAGAATAGAATAGAAGAATGTGCACCGTAATACGAGGATTTCTTACAACGGGATTTCATTTCTCAAAACCCCGTTATTTCTTCCTCTATTATTATATTATTAAACTTACACAATTTATAAATTATTATTAATTTTAAATTCCCGCTAGACTGGCAAAAAAAGCAGAAATTCCTGTGTCGGAGGGTAGGCAACTGGAGGAGAGAGAAAGTTGTTGAGTGAGAAAGATAAAGCTTTCTTTGGTTTTTCTCTCTCTCTCTCTCTCACTTTCCTCTTTCTCTTTCTCTCTCTAGGGATTGGATTGCGCACTCTACTATCCAGATTCATATACTATGGACTGACTGAATTATTTATCAAACCTATTTTCCGCCGCACTACTACTATCCATCTATCTATCTCCTCATGTTTTTCTCTCTCCTACTTTCTTCGTTTTGGTACGTTTCTCGCCTTTTTTATTTTATTAATTTTGCATTTAATTCATCTTCAGTTTTTTTTTTTAGATCATGTTAATTTCTGATTTTTTGACCTAATTTTGCTGGAATTTGATCAGGAATTGAACGATTTTGTTGTAATTATTGTCAATTTTTGAGGAATTTTGTTGTTTGAGCCATTATTGTTGAAGTTTTTAAGTTAATTAGCTGGAAATTGATGAAAATTTGAGTTAATTTGATGCTAAATGATGTGATTTCTGTTGATTTTTGAGGAATTAATTGTTTGAGCTTGGTGCAGCTTAATGCTTTTTGCTATGGTGTTGTAGATCTAAGTAATCGTTCGTTTCCTTTTTCGCTTTAGTTTCTGAAATTTCTGGTAATTTTTCTCCGGTTGAGCTGTTGTAATTGAGATATGTTCGATTTTTCGGTGTTTTAGTTTGTTTTTCATTTAATTTTTCTAGGTTTATGGTAGATCTAGTTGGTGCCTGAAGAAGTTGAAGCCGCTGGTATTGTAGTCACTAGTAAGCTTCTTTTACTCATTTCATTCATTTACCACTTTATAATGTGCCTTTTTTGGATTTTGATTTGTTGTTGTGATTGTATGTTTGATATTCCCAGTTTGCCTGCAATTGTTTTTTCAATTAGCGTGTATGTATGTGTGGTGGTGAGGTTATTGTACTTCCAGGCTACGACTTAGATTACATGCTTAAGGTAACTAGATCCTCGAATTTGTTAGTTTAGAATTTAGATGTGTGTTGTATTTGCTCATTTTAAAATTAACCGTGATGATGTTTGTATGCGCTCGTTTTCTTCCTTGTGTATGTGAAGTCTGTTTCTGTTGTTACTACTTTTGACTGTTATCTATGATCATATTACTCCCCTTATCTGTCATGTTGTTTTTGTGATTTTGTGTGGGCAAGAAACTCAGCATTTTAAATTGCTTATGTGTTTGTAAGTGGTTTTTGATAAGTGACCTGGTGCCTATTGGCTGTTCCTCATGCCTCATATGGCTTATGTTTTTGATAAGTGATTGACTTAATGTATTGGCAAGCGTGAAATGAAAACTGTTGCAAGGAAAAAAAAAAAGGAACTGAGGAAGTATATATACTACATATATATTTTCCTGATTTTATCTGCTGCATATTATGACACTGCTTGTCAAAACTGTGTGCCTATGTATCTAATCTTCTTTGCCTTCCCTTATTAATATTAATCTGTTGATTGCTGCTCCCTTTTCCAGCGGTATTTTTGATGGAGGATACTCAATCTGTTGGCGTGCTCATAGACTCTGCAACCTCCAAGATACAGCAACTTCAGAAAGCATTTGCTGAGCTTGAAAGTCACAGGGCTGTTTCCCTCAATTTGAAATGGAAAGAGCTGGAGGCCCATTTCCATGGTTTGGAAAAATCACTTAAGAGGCGTTTTCATGAGTTGGAAGATCAGGAAAAGGAATATGAAAACAAGACAGTTGAAGCACAAGAGATTCTAGAGAAGCGTAAAGCAGCAGTTGTGGCCAAAGAGCAGGCTTCTTTAGAGAGGCTTCAGGAGAAGAGGGATGCTGCTGTTTTTGCTATTGTTAATGCTAAAGAGAAGCAGTGGAGGGAATCATGTGAAGAATATTCTGAAGCCACCAGTGAGAGCCAGGGTGGAACCATGGAGGACACACCAACTAACTCTATGATATCTGAAATTACTTCTGAGTATACTAGTGGAACTGCTGAAGATGGAAGCCCAGAAGTGCAGTCAGCTGATAATGGAAACAGGGAGGTGACATCTTACCCTGAGCTCGTCAAACTATGTGAAGAGATGGATGCTGAGGGTCTTCATAATTTTATATCTGACAACCGCAAGAACCTTGCATCAATGCGGGAGGAAATACCACAAGCTTTGAATGCTGCTGCTGACCCTGCCTGTTTGGTTCTTGATTCGCTGAATAACTTCTACCGTGGTGATGTGACAAACTTGGATGCAAAAAAGGATTCCAGTCTTTTGGGTCTTCGCCGCACCTGCATCATGTTGATGGAGTGTCTTAGCATTTTGTTTGCGAGTCTGGATGCAACCTCTGTTTCTGAAATAGTCTCTGCAGATGTTAAGGCACGAGCAAAGGCTATTGCTGAGGCATGGAAGCCAAAGCTTAATGAACTTGACATGGAAGCTGGAAGTGGAAACTCCTTGGAGGCTCATGCATTTTTACAACTTCTGGCTACTTTCTATATTGCATCTGATTTTGACACAGAAGAACTAACCAAACTAGTGCCTTTGGTGTCACGTCGTCGCCAAGCTGCTGATCTCTGCCGCTCACTTGGGTTATCTGACAAAATGCCAGGTCAGATTTGTGTATTATTATGTACAAGCCAAAGTCTTGGAGTGGTATGAAATATTCAGGGAGGCTTTTATGAACTGCTGTACTGGTCCCCCTTTACATTGACACTTCTTTTTTAATCAAGCCTTTCCCCAAACAGGGATAGGCTTAACCGCATAGGTGGGGTGTCTGGCTGTGGTACTTATCAGTGGACATTTTAAGTCGAGAACTAAAACTAACCTAATTACTTCAAATGTTCCATCTCCCGTTGACATAATTTTACCTATAAATTCTGGCATTTCTCATTCTTAGGCTAGATGTTTTTCACTGATTCTTATTGGGAGAGGGATAGAATTTTGGGTGTGTGTGTCTGTTCATTTTAATTTGTTTGTTGGGAGAGCATATTAGCTCCCTGGTTTTTTATTGGAAACTTGTTGATAACTTGCATATTCTGCATCATCTCTTGATTAACACTGCATATCAACAAGTAAAGCCATGACTTTGCATTTATGTGTTCTGGTTGTTGACTTCAAGCTGGAATCTGCAGGTGTAATTGAAGTGCTGATTAATAGTGGCAGACAAATTGATGCTGTTAATTTGGCCTCTCAATTTGAGCTGACTGAACAATTTCCCCCCGTTCCTCTGCTGCAAAACTATTTAAAGGAAGCGAAAAAAGTTCTTTCTCCCATTAAGCCTGGAAATGCATCACCGTCTTCTCCCAATGCACAGGTTTCCTTCTCATTCTGCTGTTTATTTCTTTGCTTAGTTTATGGTTATGTTCTTCCTTTTCACTTTATATTACTCCTATGTGGCCTAAAGATTGCCCTAATACCCTGTGACTCTGAGGCCATGATGTATTTACTATGTGGATTGAAAAATTTTTTGTAACATATATAACTACAATAAATTGGTTTACTACGTGTGTGAAAGGGCTGAAAGCATGTGTAATCTGCTATAACATCAATTTTTGATGCATATTAGTTGAAATTGGATATTCCATAGATGCTCTTGATAGTCTTGTACATATTCTGCTTATGATTGTGCATGTCCAGCTGCCCTTGCACTTGCTCATACTCCTTCAGACACTTGGGTGTATGATAATAAAACTTGGTAGTAATACATCTTATGCTGCAAACATTGAACTCAATTTTCTCTCTTAACTTATAGTTGTATTATTCTTTTCAGAACAACGATGTGAATGAACGAGAGCTCAGTGCCTTGAAGGCTGTCCTGAAATGTGTGGAAGAGCACAAGCTTGACGAACAGTTTCCTATGGAGACTCTGGCAAAACGCGTACTCCAGCTCGAGAAGGCAAAAGCAGATAAGAAACGAGCAACAGAAGTTACTAAACCTCAATCCAAGAGGCCCCGTGCTACCAACGTGGGGTTTGCACCCCGCGTCACTAACCTTGCTGCCAACACTTCTCCGTATGCTGCTAGGCTGACTGACAGGTACCCTCCTCCCCAGTACGTGTTTGACAACAGACCCTACGTTTACACTGCCGGACCTACTGATAATCACTGCCCTCCTCCTGTCTTGGGTGCCCCAGCTTATGGCTTTCCTCCTGGCCATGGAAATTACTACGCCAATGGGTACCAGTACCAGGCCCCTCCTTATCAGTACTGATGCTAATTTGGTGACTGTCGTGAACTTCTGATTTTAACTACTAAGTTTTTAACCCTTTTTCTAAGATGTCAGGTACTGTACGTTTAATCTTAGTATTAGGTGGGAAAAAACTGAGATAATGTAAGGTGAAGTAAAAAAAAAAGGATCAAGCTTAGTGTTTTAGCCTCTTTCAGTTTCATGTATAACGAGACCTTTTAATCCTCTAATATATGTACCGTGTTTTGTGTTTGTACAATTCTCTTCTCTTATCTCATGTTTCTTACTTTCTTACAAGTAGCTTATATGGTTTCTGTTACGAATATAGCTGAAATTGATAGTGAATTTGTTACTCGTATGAGAGTGCTGCCCACCATGGCAATAAGTCTGGGACTAGGACCTGTAGCCCGAGTATCAGACCTGCTTGGACCATACCACTACCATAATTTATGTGTACTTATACAAGTACATGTTAAAATGAGAATTGGTTGCTTGTCAAAGTTTCATACTCCGTATCATATTAGCTTTGATGGCAAGTTACTTCAACAATTTTCATGTATTGGAAATTTGGAATATGTAAAGCTTATATACGAAAATTACGAAGTACTTGTATTTATAAAGTTATGAAAAACCCTTGAAGGTGTATTAAAGAATTCGTTTGCTGAAAATAGATTCATTTCAAACTACTCGGAAAAAAAAAAAAGAATATTTCAAACTAAGAGCACGATTCTTATAGAGTTATAGTGTAGTGTGCAGTTGTGCACTTGCGTCTGAGAGTGAAAATAGCTCAAGTGATTAGAGATTCCTCTCGATTTTAGGTGATTTTGGGATCGATTCTCATTACTCGCCCTTGTGGCTCTAAAAAAAAAAAAAAAAAAGAAAAAAAAAAGAAAGGTGCACTTGTGTCTAAACCATGGTCCAAACGACAATCATATCATTTATTCAATATGGAGTACTATTTTCAAATCACAACCTTTTTCCCTCCAAAATCTCTCTATCTTCCTCTGCTTGTTTTAAACAACCGTCACTTTCTTTTCTTCATCATTCAAATAAACGCCCAAATTTCCCGGCAAAAAAAAAAACATTTCTCCGGTGACACAAAATGAGAATAGCAGAGATAAACTCGCCGGACCTCCGGCAACACGACGCCGTTTCACTCACCCTCCAACAAATCGAATCACTCGTCAAACAAATCGAGCTTCTCTCTCCTAAAACTTCTCCCTTACCTTCCTCTCTCTCTCCTCAGCTTCGACAATGCCTGACTCAACTGAGTCAACTCGGTCCTTCTTCCTTCTCCAAATCGGTCAAGCTTCAGCTATGGAAGCTCAGCTACCGTCTCTGGAACTCCTGCGTCGATCTCACAAACGCCGGCTTAAAAGGACACGTGGAGCTCCGGCAATCCGCCGCCGACATTCTTGCAATCGCCGGTGATGTTGCTGGAGTTCCGTCACCGGCGATGAAGGCGGCTTCGTTCTACTACAAGACTGGTTTGATTTGGCATGAGATGAGGAAGTTCGATTTGGCGAATGATTGTTATGAGAAAGCAACGGATCTTGTTGCGAAGGTTGAAATTGATTCGATTTCTGACCTAGGAGAGAGAAAATTGTTGCTCGATCTTAATATTGCGAGGGCGAGAACTGCGTGGGAGGTTTCGGATCGAAACGTTTCGATTGCGTTGTTGAATCGTTCGAAGAAGTTTCTGTTTGAAACGGCGGAGAATTACAGGATTCTTGCGGAGCAATACTTGGCGTTTGGGAAGGCGGTGTTGATGAAAAGCGGAGTTTCGGAGGGTAATGAGGCGTTGAAGTTGATGAATGAGGGTTTGGAGTTGTGTGAGAAAGGGCTTAGAGTTGTGAAGAAGACGGATGAAACGCTGAGTTTGAAGACTTTGAGGGATACAACGCTGCGTTTTATAGCTGCTTCGCATTTGCAGAGGGAAGAGTTTGATAGTGTGGTTAAATGTGTGAGGGTTTTGAGGGATTATAGTGGTGTTAAAAGCGGAGATCAGCACCCGAGTTTGAGTGTTTTAGCATTGAAGGCGTGGTTGGGATTAGGGAGGTTTAGTGAGGCAGAGAAGGAGCTGAGGGATATGGTAGTTAATAAGGGGGTTCCAGAGGCTGTTTGGGTTTCGGCTGTGGAGGCATATTTTAAGGCAGTTGGTGTGGCTGGAGTTGAGACAGTGAAGAGTATTTTTCTAGGGCTGTTAGGGCGGTGCCAAGTTAGTGCTTGTGCAGCGGTTCGTGTGATTTATAAGGTGATTGGGGAAGGCGGTGGTGGTGGGGAAGGGTTACGGATTAGAGAGATCATGGCGGAGGAGTTGGTGAGTGATGAAAGGGTGGTGACACTTTTTGCTGGTGAGAGAGCTGCAAAGGAAAGAACAGCCTTACATGCTGTCTTGTGGAATTGGTGAGGCTTTACTACAGTATGAACTAATCCAAGTTCTTGTGATTTAGTTGTTTGTTTAGTCTCTTAGTGGATACTAAAGAACATGAATATTAATACTCCGTATGAAAATTTTGCAACTAATGCTTTGTTCTTGCTACTCTTCAGTACCCAGTGAACCAATTTTGCCTATGATAGTTATCTTCAAGGCATAATCTTGTCGTGGTTGTTTGTTTGCACTTTGTATTGTTTTGCCTTGTGTTTGCTGGATCCTTTTGTTGCCTTTTGATCTCGCTCTGGGTGTGATATGGTGCTCTCCTTTGTTTTCTTCATGTCTACTTTTTCATGGGACCTCTGTCTTTCGTATTGAACTTGTTGTAATGAATGATTTGCATTATTAGATGTGTTCTTGTATACTTTTTCCTCTTGGTGGTTAATGTTTGGCCTGTGTAATTATAAATCATGTGGCTGTGGTCTCATCTGTTTTAGAGACCCTAAGATAGAATATATAAACCAATCCCGGGCTTCAACCATTAGCTTAACCAGTATTGATTTATATATTCTATCACTTAGGTTGTTGTGGACTTGTGGGGACTTAAATCTAAGCTACAACATATCAGCCCTGAAAAGTAGATGCACCTGAAGTTGCAAGTCCTAATGGTGTTGTATCTTGTGTCATAAGAAACGTAGGATTTGATTAGAAAGAGAGACTGAGGAACTCTTATTAGACTATACATGTAGTTTTAACAGGAAATGGTGGAGGGAGTTATTGGCTTATTGCTAGTAATTCATACAACCGTCTTTTTATACACTGGTGACATCATGACATCACTTCTGAGGATCTGCTTGCTGAAGAATTTGAGATTTGCTATGATATGTATGTAAGCAAATTAATGGTGTGGCAGGAAGAGATTTTTGAGAGAATGCAATCAACATATGCCTCGGATTTGAATTTATGAAGCAATTAATATGAACAAAAACAAAATGAGGAAAATTAGGATACTTAAGAAAATTTAGACAATGCATGGCGTTTCCATTTTTTAGATGGGATGTTGTGCATAAGTCATAGCTTTTCATTTTCTGAATTCTTATCTATGTTGATCTTTCTGCTTTTGTGCATATCTTTTTTTTGTAGAGACTTCTCTTGTAGAAACTCCCGACCTTTTGACCCACTTAATTTCCCTGAGCAGTGCTGCAGCTCATTTTCGGTCAAAGGACTATGAGATTAGTGCGGGATTATTCGAAAAGGCTATGCTTTATGTGCCCAGTGGCACCGAGAGCAGAATTCTACGAGCAAAGGGATACAGAGTTTTGTGTCTATGCCACTTGGGTCTCTCCCAGCTTGATCAAGCAAAGGAATACATTGATGAGGCAGAGAAGGTATTGTGTGTTGTTCTCATCTGGTATAAGGCCGAGCTACAAAGAGAGACTAAAGATGTTTATGATACTGATGCATTTTTTTCCTGCAGCTTGAGCCAAACATAGCCTGTGCATTTCTGAAGGTATTGTAAATTTTGCTTGCTTTATATTTAAAAACAACCTTGTTTTATTCTATCTTAGCCTCACTGTAGTAGGTTGTTTTTTTCTTATGATTTGGGCAGTTCAAGATATACTTGCAAAAGAATGATCATGCTGCTGCCATAACTCAGATGAAAGCTATGACGGGCTGCACTGACTTCACTACAGAATTTCTTTCACTTGCAGCGCATGAAGCTGTTGCATGTCGTGCACTTGGAGTTGCTGTTTCTTCATTGTCTGATCTCCTCAACTTCTACACATCAGGAAAACCAATGCCAGTAGCTGAGATAGTTGTGGTTCGCACCACTCTGGCGATCCTTGTTCAAGAATCTGGTCACGAGTACGATCTCCTGAAGCATATGAAGAGAGCCCAAACTAGGATGACTGAGCTAGGGCCTGATAATTTCTTTGGGAAAGGTGAGGTTGGAAGGCGAGAACAAAACTGGATCGCAACAAATGCATGGAATGCAGGGACACGAGCAGGGTTGGAAGAAAACTATGAATTATGTGCTGAATTTTTGAGTTTGGCAGCTGAATTCTATGATGTTAAGATTGACAGGGAAGCAGAAGGAAACAACATAATGGTTTGCAAATCAATTGTCCTGGCCGTTTCTGCAATGATAGCCACTGAGAAGCAAAAGAAGGTTGCGATGTTGGATGCACAAGTGAGGAAAGCCATAGAACTGCTAGATAGAGTTGGAAAGGTAAGCAATAGTTTCCTTCGTAAATAAAGGTAGCTTAGCTAAATTCTATGAAGTCCCACTAAAATTTTCATGCAACATGCTGTCAGTTGGTGGAATCATTGTCAGCTGCAGAAAATCCATCAGACTGTCAAGACAGCAGCCTCGATCCAAAATTCCAACTTGTATACATGTTGAATGCATACGAGTTATATGGAAGGCTTAAAGATTCAAGATCCCAGCAGCTCCTTGTGAAAAGTTATTTGAATTCAAAGGTCTCTAACCCGAAGGATCTTCTTCAGATAGGCCTTGCTTTCTCACAAGGTTCCCAATTTAATGCTGAAGTAGCAACCACCACTTTAAATGCTTGCCTCTCTGGTCTGCTTGCTTCACCTTTACCAGACTATAATGAGGTGGCTATAGTTATAAGACGGCTAATTACTATAGCTGTGGTTTATAAGGGAGATGCTGATGATGAGGCGGTGTACAATCTATATAAACAGGCACAACGAATTATGGTGGGGCTCAGAGAAGGTGAGTACCCTGTTGCCGAGGGGAAATGGCTTGCTACCACATCTTGGAACAGGGCAGCAGTCCCTGTGAGACTCAGACAGGTTGATGGGGCAAAAAAATGGATGAGTTTGGCGTTGGAGTTTGCAAAGAAGGTCCCAGGAATGGAAACTTATAAGGCATGTATGGAAGACTTTATCGCCAGCTTTGAGAAGAAACAACAAGAGGATGAAGAAAAGAGGAGCAAGCTAACTAGCTGAATGAAAACTAGCGTGAAGATGAGCTGAAGTAGATATTTTGTACAGATTATAGAAGGCGAAAACTACAGGACACAGAAGAAATGTTTGAGAACTACATAACCTGCAGAGGAGCAAGCTAAATCCTTGTCTGCTTGTCATTTATAAACTTAATGAAAAATGTCTAATATGACATGAGAATAGAGAAAACATATGTTAACTTTTATATATATTGGCCAGAATGTCAAATACAATCGAATTTGATTTGAAGAGTATTTTACAAAATGTAATCAATTGCTTGCTTTTTCCCCCCCCCCCCCCCCTTTCCTTCCTCTTTCTTGTAGTCTTTTTCCAGAATCTCCTAACACAAAGAATAACAGTTACTCTGATTTAAAGAGTATTGTACAAAAAGTAATCAATATGGTTTACATAATTTGAAGGCCCCTTATATTGTAGCAGCTGCAATATTTCAAATACTTCAGTCTATTTGTATCCTCTATCATCAATCACTTCCTCCTTTCTCAGCACCTTATTTTGTCAACTCTAATTTGATGTCAAGTAGATGCCTGGAGTTGTGTCAGTCTTATATCGGTCATCAAATCGATATAGAACCAGTGCTCCACAACTCCATATGTCCACTTTTGATCTAATATTGAAGCAGATACAACCGCCTTCAACAACGTTGTTGCTAAAGGAAGGAAGAGCAAACATGGTAGAAAAGATAATTGGGCGACTGAGAGAAAAAATTAGCTGGTAGAAAATCTCTCTTGAATGTCATAGACATACAAAAAAGAATTCAATTCTACCCTTGCAACCTTTTCCCATTTGAAGAGGTATGAGACTGCTTTTCAAACTAGAGAACCTTCTTAAAATATATTGTGGAAGTGTATTGTTGTGTGTCTAGTCATCATCTCTCAAAGGGCCAAGTCCCTTCATGGAAGTCGAGCCTCTTTTAGGTGACAGGCGCCACGCCGAAGAGAGGATTATAGCCTTAAAGAGTTGATGACCACAACGAATGTCACTTCCACAGCTGCTTGGTTTAAGTCTCATACCCATCAGAGTATAATCTGTAAAAGACAAGAAACTCTAGTTAGTCCTTTATACATGATAATAGTATAATAGTTGGAGGAATTGTGTGACTTAGACATGTTTTGCATATTGATTTCTTGTTTTAAATCAAAATATTTTGTACAGATCTATATCTTTAAAAGTTTCAAAGCCATGCAGCATGAGTTCTCTATACCAATTATGGAACTCTTGAAATTAAATTTTAGATTATTGCTAGAATAAATTGTTTAAGAAAAGGAGAAAACAAACTTGGTGAATTGCAGATGCAATAATGCTGATGAATAACATTCTCTGAATTTGTTTTTTCCTCTTCCTCTTTCTTCTAAACCAATTGTCTTTGGCCAAGGTAACCATTGAAATTGGTATTATGAGCTTCTAACTTAATCTAAATATTAGAGGAACCTATGATTTCAAGAATTGCTTTGTGTTTTGGTTGTTGGTATGAGAATTGATGGGAATGGTTGTGCCAGATCAAGACCTTTTTATAATGGTTGGGCGAATCATATGAGATATGATATGTTTCCTTGAATGATAATCAGGATAAGATTTACGCGTAATTCCTTGAATGATAATCAGGGTAAGATTTACGCGTAATTCCTTGAATAAAAATCCAGATAAGTTTTACGCGTAATTCCTTGAATGAAAATCAGGATAAGTTTTACACGTAAGTACTTACACCACTACACGTAAATGCCACGCATGCAATGCAATCTCAAGGCTCATGTGCATCATATGAGAAATGATCAAGCCCATTCCTAGCAATCTATAGGCCCGGGCAGGATGATTAATTGGAGCCTCTTAGCACCATCTACAGAGCATGTTAAGTAAACTATCATAAGTGCTACAAGCCTACAACCTACAGGTAAGGACTTACACCGTGTCATTTACATGTCACGTATGTAACTATGTAACTATCATAACTTCATAAGTGCATTATATTGATGGGAGGGGCAAATCATATTGGATACAATATATTTCCTTGATGTATTTGTCTCTAAAACTAAGGAAGCCAAGATGAGCAAACATGTAATTCTTCTGATATGTTATACGTAGTATCTACAATCCTAGGCAGAAACTGCTAACAAATTTGCTTACAGTCAATCAATCAGAACCTATATTTCATGCACTCGTGAATATGGTATATCTAGAGGGTTTAGAATAAGTTTAATACCCTGAAAACTCCTTCAGAAGGACATGAGCAGGCAAAGCATATACATGATGAAAACCTAATAAGTGCTCAGAAAAATAAGCAAGTAACATATAATATGGTATTTGCTGGTAAGTATTGCCAAGCACTAGCATTAGAGTTAAATGACAAACATACGCGTAAATTCATAACAGCCTCCAAGTTCTATGTAAACTGTCAAGCAACATTAGTATAAGTAGACAAAATCAACTACTCCAACAGCGATCTTAGGACAAGCTAGTGTCGTATAGAGAATCATTTTTTCTTAGCTGTGAGGGTAACCATTTGAGGCCTCAGAATTGAGAAGCAAAGCTGCAGACCAAACTTCGACTCAATCTGATTGAAGGATCTTTCCATAATGTGGCAAATGTTGACCTGTGATTTCATGTAAGAAAAATAAACATAAGAAGTTTATCTATATATGGGATTTGTAGAAAGGAACAATCAAACTAGCTCATCTATGATTTGTTCGGATTTCTTAGTAGGATTGACACTAGAATGATGAGGGCCACTACTAAGTTCAACCACGTTTTAGAGCAAACAAGTGTACAGAGCTACCCAAGTTTAATTCACAACTAAAACAAGTAGAACCAATAAGTTCAAGTAATAATTCCAAGAGAAAGAAAGCCTGACCTCCATATTGTATCGGTTTTTGATAGGAAGAACGATCCCACATTTGACAGAAGTCCGAAATGACTCCATTAAGTTCCTCAGAGAAAAGTTGTTTGGCTTAATCTCCTTCAGTTTAAGAACGCTGCCAGCAGAAGCAAATACATGACCATATATCCCTTTATCCCTTAAGACCTTCACAGGGAGATCAAAAGAAAGGTCTGCAAAGGCAGAGAATGCAAGATCTCCATCAAGAGCAATATTCATCAAGGAAGAACTTGAATCATCGCGAGTTTGCATTCCAATGTTAGGACCATGTACTCCTCTGTATCTAAGGCTCCACAATGAATCTAAGCCTCCCATGAAGCCAAATACAGAAGAGTTCTCACTTAAGAAAATTTTGTTGGCTCGCGGTGGAAACAATGGCCTATTTACGCATGATTTACTCCATGGCAGCATCAGACCACCAGAGAATCCCAAATTGAGCGCAGCATTCTTATAATCAAGAGGTAATGCATAGCACATATGGAACTCCTGTTATAATTACAGAGTCAGAGAGTTTAAAAGCTTGTCAAACAAATGTATATAATGCAAGAAACATATATTATACTTCTGCTTCTTTACCTGGCGCAGAAATCGTGCACTCCAACCATCAGGAAGCAGGCCTGAAATTGTAGTAGCAGACTGAACAGCATACCCTTGAGTAGGCCTCAAAATTGAATCCCTCTCATCAATTGTAAACTTGTAGTACAAAGAGGATAGTAAACTGAGATTTCCCAGCCTCAGATTCCCACTCAACAAATCAGTCGTCTCTAAAAGTGTCAAGTCATATTCGAGTTGATGATTCTTGGTAGAGACTAAACCGACAGAAAAGCCAGTTGCACCAAATTCTTCTTCACAGGGAAGCCTTAATGATAATAGCTCACTAAAGAACCCTAACAAGTATTGAGCAACAACAGAGACTCGAAGAGACACAGTGATATTAGGCCAACGGCTGAATTTGAGAAATGGACACCCAAGACTAATCCAACATTTTTTATTGCAGCCATCATAACAGAAATAATCATCCAAATCGGGCTTAGTCTACACGAATACATAAAACCAACGATCAATATCGAAAAATCAGTCAATTCAAGTAGTACATCACTGTAAATTTATCACTGTAAATTTCAACTCAGTTCCCCTAAAATCAAAATTGTCAAGTAGCTCATTCTACAATCTACATACATCACTGTATATTTTCAACACAGTTATACATTAATTAGACATGCAACAATCAAATATAATTTGTTATCATTAACATGAACTCAATACATTAACAATGTCAAATTACAACCACCAAAAAAACAGGGGTTTTCAAGAATTTCAACAACAAAAAAAGGGGCAAATACTAAGTGCAAAGTACTACTTCCATTTCCAAATTTTTCACCCATCTCAATAGTTCTTAACAGTTATTAAGAGTATAATTTAATGAGAAGAAATCATACCTTGAAAAAAGGTCGGAACAAAATCAGAGTTTGACCTTGATGATTGCACCATTCAATCCATCTACCATCCTGTAACACAAACACCCATCAATTATTTTTACAATAAAATTAGCCCCAAAATAAAAAAAAAATCCAAAATTATGAAAGAATCACCTTAGAATTTTTAAAGAAATCCAAATCATCCGAGTAAAATGGCCTTTTCTCATCGTGAACTACCTTGAAGTTGAATGTAGTCGGTTTCTTGTTGGTGTAATCTCCATTATCAATACTGAGAAAATCAAAGGGAAATATGACAGGATTTATATGGTTTCTGGGAATGAGCAAAATCTTCTCCTCTTTGATGGCGGACTGGTTATTTTTTTGTGGGTTGATTGAAACAAAAAGTATTTTAAGAGCTAGTTCTTCTTCTGGAATTTCCTCTATATTCTTATTGATGAATAATGCTGCTTCTTCATCAACTTCTGTTGAATCAATTTCCTTGTTTTTCTCCATAGATTCTACTCTTTTTCTCTCTCTCTCTTTCTCTGTTGTTTTGGTGGGAATGAACAGGAGTAGTAGTACTGTACGTACGACAGACAGTATTGGGTGAGTTTTTTTTTTTTTTTTTTTTTTTTTTTTTTTTGGAAAAATGTGGTAAATATTATTATAGACAAAATTATTTTCTAAATAGTAGGGGAGGGGTATGTTAGTCATAGCCTATTAGTAATAGCTTGGGGAATAAGTTATACTCCCTTCGTCTCCGAAAGAACGACCCTTTTAGGTTGATTTCGCGGGTTTTAATAAAGTTAAATAAAAAGAAGTAAAAGTATATTCAAAAGATAAATTTATATGGGGTTTACAAAAAAGTAGGGAGAGATAGTAATAAAAGTATACGGAAAACAAAATTTAATATGGAAAGCTAATTTTGCACAAATATTGTTGCAAATTGGTGGGTATTTTTATGCTAATGGATCATTCTTTTTGGGACTAAAATTAGGCCAAATGGGTCATTCTTTCGGGGACGGGGAGAGTAGTCTGTTATGAGAGTTTTTCTATAAATAGGCCTCATTAGGAGGAATAATCGGGATTTTGAATATTGTGAGGATTCTTATTTTTCGAGAGTGAGCCTCTCGAAAGCTCATGTTAGGAGAGAATCCACCTCTCGAAAGTGGAATTATCGTTGAATTAGTGTAATCCACATATTATCAATACCATCGGCATTGTTCTTTCCTAATTTCTGCCATTGTTAGAGCTGGAAACCATGCTAATGCCTAGCAAAATTTTCAAACCTACTTTTTATTTTAATGGTATATATCCTTTACCATTAAATAATTATACTTAATATGTTATCTTAATGTTTGTCCATGGGCACACGTTAGAAAAACTTAACCATCCTCCTGATGCTAGGGCATATGGCATTGATAGAATTCCCACTCCTACGTACATACATGAAAATGAATTAATTTTATGTGTGTAACATGTTTTGAGATACTGGTTTAATAAACTAAAAAAATAGATTGACTCAATGTGTTTATTGTACACTCGAGTTTAATTTTATGTGAGAGGTGTAAAATTACCTATGATTGTGTTGAGGTCATAAAATTAAACTCGAGTGTACAATATGTTTCATGAAATTGTGTTATTATTACCTATGATTGTGTTGAGGCCATTGAATACCGTCTTGAAGAATGAAGTGTAACCTTCTTCACTTGATGATCTAATAATGTTCGCCTCCACCTCCATGGAAGGCTAGCTTTTACTAGGTTAAGAATTAAGATATTCATGTGATTTCATTAAAAAAAAATGAAGTATGTCACAACTTCACAAGTAATTACTTGACATCAAAGACAATTACATACAATGAATGGTACAACTCGTACAAGTAACCATATCATATCCAGGACTGACCCTAGGACGTTGTTTTGAGGCCAACTGAGATGGAGGCCCAAAAATTAAATTATTAGTGCTTGGTGTGGGTGGCATGAGATTGAACAACCCAAGCATCAACAATTTTCCTTAGTATTGTACCTTTTATTAACTAATTTATAATTTAAATATTTTTATAGAAAATCAATAATCAATCAAAAATCAAAAACTTAATACTAAAACAGACACCGAGAGTAACACATGTCACATCCTGGTGCTGTTTTTTCCCTTCAAAACTTTCTTTTCTTTGTAACCATTTTTTCTGTGTATTTGAATATTTGTTGCAACTATAATAATATCATTTTAAATCTATTATATTATCTTTATGACAAAAATGTTACTTTTTATTTGGTGTTCATAATTCTTCCATATACATATACCTAAAATACTATTCCAACTTCTTTTTAATAATTTGATAAACAAAATAATATTAAATTTTGCCAAAAAATTATTACTTCGTATTAAAATTGATTCATTTCATTGATATTTAAAATTACTTTAAAGCATTACTTTTATTTGTTAGATATAATAATTTTTTTAATAAAAAAATTAGACTTAACGTGCATGGCACGGGGCCCTAAGCTAGTGATAACTAAACTAGCACGTGTGTTAAAAAAAAAAGTATACATGCTCTGTAGATGGTGCTAAGAGGCTATAATTAATCATCCTGCCCGAGCTTATATAGATTGCTACCAGTGGCAGATCTTGGGCCAAAAAATTAGGGGGCCAAAATTTGATCCCTTAATGTTAGGAATATAGGAAAATATATTATTCTGATATATTTTCCATATAGATCTCATAATATTATATTTAGGATAATAATATATCTTAGTGATATTCTAAGATAGATTTATGGAAGTTTATATGATAGAGTTTATATTGTGTAGGTTATCTTTTGTAGACTATAAATAATAGCCAAGATCATCAATACAAGTCAAGCTATTCTCTCATAAATAATTTAACACTTAACCTTTTGTTCAAAAATTACAAAAGTTAAATCACTTTGCCACAAAGTTTTATATGCAATAAATAGACATCAAACTACTTATAATGAACAACTCCAAAATACTTGGGGAGGCCGTGCCCTTGAAAGGTCTGCCCCTGATTGCTAGGAAGCTTGATCATATCTCATATGATGCACATGAGCCTTGCATTGAATGCGTGGCATTTACGTGTAATGGTGTAAGTCCTTACGTGTAAAACTCATCTGGATTTTCATTCAAGGAATTACGCGTAAAACTTATCCGGATTTTCATTCAAGGATTTACGCGTAAAACTTATCCTGATTATCATTCAAGGAAACATATCGTATCTCATATGATTCACCCAACCATTATAAATAGGTCTTGATCTAGCACAACCATTCTCATCAATCCTCATACTAATAATCAAAACACAAACCAATTCTTGAAATCAGAGGTTCCTCTAATATTTAAATTTAGTTAGAAGCTCAGAATACCAGTTTCAAATTTTCAATGGTCACCTTGGACAAAGAGCATTGGTTTAGAAGAAAGAGAAAAAGGAAAAAACAAATTCATAGGATGTTTATTCATCAACATTATTGCATCTGCAATTCACCAAGTTTGTTTTCTCCTCTTCTTAAACATTTATTCTAGCAATCATATATTATTTAATCTCTAGAGTTCCATAATTGGTATAAAACTCATGCAATTGCACTGCTTTAAAATTTTGATTTTTCGATTTATTTTTTATTTAAAACAAAAATCAATATGCAAAACATGTCATAGTCACACAACTCCTCTAATTATTATGAATAAAGGACTAACTAGAGTTTCTTGTCTTACACAGATTATACTCTCATGGCTATGAGACTTAAACTGAGCAACTGTGGAAGTAACATTTGTTATAGTCATCAACTCTTAAGGCTATAGCCTTCCTCTCGGCGTTGCGCCTGTCACCTGAAAGTGGCACAAATGCCAGGAAGGAACTTGGCCCATTCAGAGATGGTGACTGAACGACACAACGCTACAGGTCCACAAAGTATCAGTCGAGGTTTGCAAGTTTGAAGAGGCTGACCTACTTCTTGCTTCATAGCCATGCCAAATGGGAAAAAGGTTGTCATGGTAGAATTGAATGTGTTTCTCTGTCTTCAACTTCTAAAAAAGACTCCACCAGATAATTTTTTTCTCAGTCACCCAGTTATCTTTTCTATCGCGTTTTCCCTTCCTTCATGTAGCAACCATCTAACATTTAAGGCGGTTAGTTGTATCTGCATCACAATCAAGTAGACATATGGAGTTGTGGAGTGGTTCTATATCGATTGATGATCGATATAAAGACTATGCCACAGCTCCAGGCATCTGACTTGATAATTTGATATCAAAGGTCAGAGGTGACCGGTACACTGAAGCAGAAGTATCACGCCCTTCAAATTATGTAAACTATATTGATTACTCAGTACTTTTTGTACAATACTCTTCAAATCAGAGTAACAGTTATTCTTTGTTTAGGAGATTCTGGAAAAAAGTCTACAAGAAAGGGGAAGGAAAAAAAAAAGCTAGTAATTATTCTGTAAACCATACTGATTACTTTTTTGTACAATACTCTTCAAATCAGATTCGATTGTTTTAGACAAAAATCAAATATTAACATTTGAAAATAATTCAAAAATCGTTAAATCGAATGATACAGTTAGTAGGAACATGATTGTTGAATGCTAGAAATCAAAAACATGGATATATCATAGTCAGGGTTCGACAATTTCTTACAAAAAAAAAAAAAAAAAAAAAAAATACAGACTATCTTCAGAGGGTCTTATGTTGAATGCATATATTAAAGTTGGATAGTTTTGTTGCCAAAGTACTTGCAATAGGAATGATGTTTCTAATTACATTCTAAAGGAGAATTCTGTATTTGAAAGGAACCTTAAATTTCAAGTGCTTCTCATTCTTTTCCAACGAGAAATTATTGTGTAAAGCTCGAAATTAATAAAAATATCCATAGAAGCATGGTAGGCTTACTTAATAGTGAACAAGCCATTTTTAGCTAATTGACATCTTAGTCCATCTTGATAATATGAATTACAGGGAGGGGCATACCGGCATAGATTAAATTTGAAGTTGAATATGAAAAGGGTAATATTTGAAGCATTTTTCAGACACTGCATCTAAGAATTTAGAGCAGAGGCATTAGTTAATGATCAAACCTGTATAAGGCTAGTAAAAGGACTGAGAAAGTTGTCTGGCTAGAATATGCAGTTCTTCACGCTGCACGGGCTTCGACTGTCAGAAACTCTATGGATAAACGCATTGCTACTTTCCCTGGAAGCTTAATATAACTTGCTCTGTATATCAGACTTACATCTCACATCACTTACGTAATAATCCAGCATCCAAGCAAGTAAATTCATTACAAAAAAAGCAAGAGGAATTAACAAAAGGATTTATTACTCTGGCAGCTTAATGCCATTTGACTACCTGTTATCCACATTGCTAAACCTCGATATACCATTGCACTATTTTAAGCATTAAGAGTTACACAAAATGAATTCTGGACATACATTAGATTGGTTTTGGATCTGTTCACAAAAACGATCTGCATTGCCACCCTGTAATGGCCACAGCCCAGCTATCATTGGTTCCACAGAACTTATAGTGCAGGGTTGTTAGCAGATCTTTATGAAGAACCCTGTTTTTTTCCCTCTTAGGTGGCAAATAATTTGATCTCCGTACAATTGAAACAAAGTCGGGATCCTACTTCTTTAGGGGGTTCATCTTTTCCCTAAGATAGTATAATTTGGCTCTTCTCACTTTCTTCTTATCCAGCACTTTAATCTCCTTTATGTTAGGCGAGTACCTGTTGCAGTCAAATCACAGGTCATCAAGAATTCAGACATGAATAATTATCTCAAATTTGTAAGTCGATATACTATACTCAATCCATTATCTAGAGATATGAACTAATTTAACAAATTAATTAAAGACAGGAAGTTAGGAATTATGACAGAGAGGTCACCAGAAGTTTCAGAATCAAAGGAAGATAATTTGAGGAAACATGTGGTTTTCTGGAGAAAGAAAATTGTAAAAAAAAAAAAGAAAAGGGTGGTTGTGAACCATTTTTTTGGGGATGTGGTGTAGTCCAAATAAATATTCTAGCCAATTTTGTGTTTGGCCTGTTCAATCCTAAATCTTACTGGCTTTGGTTGAGTTTTTCAGTGCTAGTAATAAGGCTAGACTGGTGTCTCAGGCTAATAAATGGACAGATCTGTTTGGGTTGAGTACTAGGCTATATTCAATTCTACATTTTAAAGCAAATATTTCATTTTGCAAAGAGGCTTTTTAAGTTCACATACATTGGAAGAAGACTCTCAACCCCAACTCCAGCAACTAGTCTCCTTATTCTAAATGTTGAGTTTAATCCTGCATTCCGCCTTGCTATAACAATGCCTTTTATTGTAGTAATACGTCGTTTGTTCTCAGGAACTTCCTGATTTTACACATGAAAACAAAGAAGAGTTATAACATGTCATTGAGGGTTCCCATCCCAACATGAAAGCAAGATCAATAGTTGCCTCTAGCCAACATGTATGCAAGATCAAAATTTGCCTCTACCAAGTTTTACATACCAATTTGAGCTGGATGATATAACCTGGCTTGATATCAGGAATTTCTCTCTGTCCCTTTACCTCCTCAACTGCTTCTTTATCCAGAATCTATTGAAAAATATTGGATGGACATAAGAATGAAAATAAAGTGCATTTATCTTGTAAAAAAGATGCAGTGAAAGCAAGCATACCTGCATCATGTGCCTAGCTGTTTTATCAAGCCTCTTAAATTTTATGCGAGCAGGCACATCAGTTTCAGGAGCTGTAGTATCCTGTGTGATTGATGCTGCAGGAGTACCAGCAGTAGAGAAGCACCTGTGAAAAAATCTCTCAGAGAAAGCACCCTCCTGAATGGCACCAAACTTTGCACTTCTGCTGAAGAATGCAAACGAAGGTGCAGCAAATCCATGTTTTGAAGCACACTCATGGCCAAGTTCCCTTCCCTGTGAATTTGAATATATAAATAACCCATTTCAGATTTAGAATAAGGCAAGTCATACTTCATAGTTCTTTTTCCATCTCTATGAAAAAAAATAAAGAATTCATCCTAGTATGCTACAGTTAGTAACAAATACTTGCAGTCAGGGTATTCAAAAGATTCTACTTAATTGAGCAGAACAGGGAATGGAAAATTGAACATATTGAAATGGACATAAAATGAGCACAGGAAAGGAGAGGGGGTATTTCAGCATCATAAATGTTAAAAGAGTATTCAAAACAGATGTAGTAGATGCCACTTCAATAAATATTACTATGGGCAATGCCAACCTAAAAAAGGTAATGGAAACAAAGGACATGGAGATGAGGTAGAAGATAGAACAGGAGAGAAAGAGAAGAAAGTAATTAACCTAGGACTACTGCAGCCACAACATCTCAGAATATCTTATCCAGACATCCAGTCTCCATTAAAATAACAGATGTATTTAAAGAAGAGTGATGGTTCATTAGAGCAGAAAAAAATTAATTGGATTGGAGGACATACAAATAAATTGGAGCCTAGAGAAAGACAGTGGTGGATGCACAGATGTAACCATGACGGTTTTATAGACTAGGTGGAGGGATCTACCTTCTTCAGAGAAGGCGGGGGAGGGGGGGGGGGGGGCTGTGGAACCTATTAGCTCAATCAGGAACTGATATTACTCCCCTAACTAACTTACACAAAAGTTTACATGATTACATCCCAGAACACTTTTACTACTCCATATTAACCCCTAATTGATTACCTCATACCAAGAATTGTCCTCTTATAGATAAAATCTTCTTAATAGGAAGGTCATGTACTCAGTCATGAAATTTTCCAGTAGGCAGGCTTACTCAGATCAGAAGGTTCAACGTCGAATCAAGTTTAACTGCCTAGGTTATGTACTGAGTGAATATGAATCCTTTACTCCATTATAAGCCCCTTCATCTACCAAACATCCCATATGCAAGATAAAGCTTCCATCAAAGTCTGATTTCTCTCACTGTCCTCTCCTTTACCCAAAAAATCTTAATTCTTGCATGCAAGCTTCCCATTCCATAACTCCAATTCTTAACCACTATAATCTTTACTCTCTCACAAATTGAAACAAGTTTTGCACATTTAACAATGAATTTAGCAATACTTTCAAATATTGGACACAGCCAAAACAAGTTTAATCAAGTTGGCATACTTGCTGTTTTGTTTCATCACCAAGTATAACAGTCATTTTATAGAGTACGTGAACTCGTGAAGCAAGAACAACAACAATTTTTTGCTTGGCACTAAAAAAATTTGTTATTGACGGAGGAATAGAGAAGCCTGGGGTTAGCATTCCTTTCTCAAATTAAATTCTTTTTAGTAACTTAAAAAAAAAAAAAAAACATTTTCAACCTAAGATAATCGCTCTCATGTACAAATCAAACAATAGAAAAATTGAGATTGAGAATATTGTTTGCTTAGAATAGGATTCTTCCCCCAACCAACACAGCCCAAGGAGATGAACCAAAGTTAATCCTCCTATCAAGATTTTGCATACAACTGAGGTGAGAATATCATCACATCCACAATATCATCACACCATTTTAATAATTACACTTAAAAGCAAAGATTACATAGCTTTGAGGGCTTTAAAAATTTCAGTGAATGCTTCAAAGTTTCAAAATTTCCAAGCAATTTACTAGTTCAGATTAACAATTTGTAACAACAATAATTGCAGAATTTATAAATTAGATTTCAATATTTTAATACCATAAATTTCCCAGATATTGCTAATATATATAATCCAATAAAAGGCAGAAACAAAGAAAATTAGAAGAAATGCAAGTACCGAAACAATGGAGGAGAGAGAACCGAAGCTCCGAATGTTGGAAGGGGCGAAATCCGAGGTTAATCTGCATTTCGATCGAACTGTCCTAATTAGGGATTGCATCTGAAAATTTTCGAAATAACAATGAAACAATTTGATTAATTAGTAGATCAATTGAATGATGAAAATGGGGGAAAATGCAATGAATCAAGAAGTAGTATTGAGAATTAATGGCGGGTACCTTATTGAGGTAGACGAAGATGAAATCCTGCAAAAACCCTACTTCCTTTGTTCTTAATTTTTAGTTCAGTAGCTCTGAATCTGTTGGGACTTTGGAGGGTTTATCACAGTTGAAAGTACGGTACTACCCCCAATTTTACAGCGTTGCCTGGTTATGGGGCGGGGCAGGTTACTCAAGTAGATTGTGCTCTCGGGAGCATGATTGTGGCATAATACTACTCATAATTATTTTATGTCTCATATTTTATAAAAAGGTATGAAATAATTGGATCAGAATAGATTTGGTTCGGGTCATTTTGGGAGAATATTCATTTATTTTAATTTAAGGTTTGGTATGGTTTAACTTAGGTCGAATTAGGTGCTGAACTGAATATTTTATAAGAGAAGGAAATTAGCAGCTGAACTGAACTGAATAGTCGAGTTTGATTCGTCGCTGCACATAACCAAACATATTAATGTTAGAATCAAGGCGTTTCTGATGAAGTTTAGGTGTCACGTGGCGCTCTCCTCTTTAATCCGTTTTTACAAGATTTGAAGCCACAACCTCAGGTTTAAATTTGAACATGTTAGCCACTAAGCTATTACCATATTAAATGTCATTCTATAAAAATTAAATATTAATAAAGATTTTGAAATAATGCAGTAACTTGGGGCATCGCCCTGCCTAACACTAGTTAACAAATTATAACATGCCAATATGCCATGCTTGTTTATTTAGCCAAATTTCATTAATTTTAGCGTGTTTTATAAAGTCATATCTTATTATATTTTTACCCCAAATATAGGTGAGGTTTAGTGACGTAGTGGTGTACAAATTACTGCAAAGGGGATAGCGCGGTATTTTATCTCAATTCAACTCCATATCCACTTCATTTGTGAATTGTGATCTCCCATTTTTCTTCAATGGAGTCTCTTTCCCTCTGTTTATCTTCCTCTTCCCCAATCTTCAAACCCCACAAAATCATCCCAAAAACCCCACCAAATTCCCTCCAAATCCCAATTCCTTTATCCTCTAATAATTTCCATGGAAATCCAATCTCAACTATTATACATTCTCTCTCTTCTAAACCCCCCCTAAAACCCCAAATTTCTCTCCCCATTTTAATGGGTTTTCTCCCTTCATATCCCTGTTTTGCATCCGAAATTGTAGACCCATCTGGGCAAAGAATCAATCTTGAATCAATTCTGGTTTCAATCAATGATTTTTTCAACAAATACCCTTATTTTGTTTTTAGTGCTACCTTCATTTGGCTCATAGTTCTTCCTTTATCTGAAGAATACTTGAGAAAATACAAATTTATATCTGCCCTTAATGCATTTAAGAAATTGCGGGATGATTCCAGTCTTCAAATGTTGGATATTAGGGATGAGAAGATGTTAGGGTTTCTGGGTTCCCCAAATTTGAGGATGTTTAAGAAGGATGTGGTTCAGATCACTTTTGATGAGCGTGATGAAGATGGGTTTTTGAAGAAAGTATTGGAAAAATTTGCTGATCCCAACAATACTAGTGTTTGCATTGTGGATAAGTGAGTGTTTGCTTTCATTATCTTTCTAATTTCTGCATTAAATCATCTTTTATTGTTAGAATATTGTATTAGATTAATTTAATTTTAGCTATGTGATGAATTTCACCTATAATTTGCTTAGTATTTTGGATGACATAGAATTGAACTGGATCGGCATGCTTGGTGCGTTATGATTGCTTAGCTGATATGTTTCAATTGCTTTCGAGTTTCGAAACTGAACTTTAATGGATGAACACAAGTTTGAGAATAAAACACATTTGATTATTTTATATTGTGTAGTTGTACGTTATATCCCTTCAATTAAAAAAAAAAAAAACGATCTCATTGTGAACAAGAAATAAGCAAGGTGCTGTACAATGCACATCAATGTGAGGTCCGTGTAGGCATTATTCAATAACTTATCCCCTAATAGAAAGCACTTGAATTCATGGGTGAAATAGACAATTGCAACTTTTCATAACAGATTTGAGGCAGCAACATTGCCAACATGTTTATACACCCCACGCCCACGAAATTGTGTTTAGTGAGGGTCTTTTATCAGTAATTATGTGGAATTTAACTTAAGTTGCCTTGCAATGGGTCTATAACATGATTCTGTTTTGTTTTCTATATGCTGGAGGACTGTAAGCTAGTTACCCTGTCTCCTGTCTGATTAGTCTAGGTGAAGCATTGCATGGTCTTGTATTTTATCCTATCTTTCTTATGAATCCTAAATATTAAACAAGGACTCTGCAGTGACGTTGTACATGATGCCATGACAAAGTTTGAAACGAAATTATTTTTATTTCACATTTAGGTTGTATCAATTATTCAGTTTCCATTCCATGCCAAGCTGCTTTCTAAATTGTGTTGACGATGTAGTTAATGGATGAAAATATTTTATTATTATTAATTTTTTTTTTTTTTTTATGTGCATCTGACATGAAGGAGTTTATGTGAATGTGTTGTGTTTTAATGAAATCGACAAGCACATATTGAGATGATGTTCTGTAGCAACTAGCAAGTCTCAACTCTAGTGTAGTTCATGTCTCCTCTTATTATCCAGATCAATAGGTTGTGTTAATAGATTTTCGTTTTGGAATGTAACCATTTATTGAGTAGTATAATTTTGAAAATTTATAATTTCATCACTTTAATGTGCTTTATCTGGTTGTAAGGTAGTTTTGATGGTAATTCAATCAAAGTGGCTGAATTATTGGTGAAGAATGGCTTTAAAGAGGCATATGCAGTCAAGGGCGGTATCAGTGGCAAGAACGGCTGGAGGGTACCTTCTTGGCTTCTAAATTCATATCAATCTTGCATTTCAAAGCTGTTCTATTTCATAACCTAGTATTGCCTTAACTTGCAGGAGATTCAACAGGAGTTTCTTCCACCATCTGTGCATGTATACCCTAAAAAGAAGGCCAAAAGATCACAACAACGTGAAAGTAATGGTGCTGCCATTCAGCCTGATACGGATCAAGTTCAAGCTGCCACTTCCGAGAAGTGATTTAAGAGGACATTTTGGTACATCAACTTTCCATTTTCTTTCGCAGGGTTTTAAAGCATGGTCATTCTATATTTTCCTTGTTACGCCTCTCATTAAGTAGCTGAAACACTCGAGACATGCATAGAAGTACAGGGACATGATAGTTGATAGATAAAAAGCCTATGTTCTGTTTTAAAATGTCTATGATGCTAGAATATATGAATTTAATAGACCATATCTATGGACTCTGGATATGGTATATCTAGTTTTTACAAAATTATCTTGTTGTTTAGAAGGACTGCACCCAGTTATAGTCCCTTAAAGTGTCAGATACATTTGATATGGCTGTACATATATGTTGTCTTTTTTTTCCCTTTCATCTTTCTTGTTATCTTGACATGGCTTTCTTTTTTATAACCAGCAGATTGCTGTATTCTGCATTTTCAGAATGTAAACAGACATTACATACTCAATTTTCACACTTTCTTCAATGTTTGTATTCCATACAGCTGCACACTATACTGTAATTTGATAGGCTTAAATTTTTTTTTTTCAGGTAATTTACATTTAACTGCTTAAACTGGAGCAGGGCTTTGTGGGGGGAGTGGTATTGCAGATGCAATTGTCAAACACGGAATGCAGCTGGAGGCAATCCAGTTCAGTGTATGCGTCTATGCAGGAAAATCCTGATTGTAGTCATGTTTCCTGGCTCTGTTCTGCATGACTTTGATCTCAGTTCTGATGGGAAGAAGTGAAGAACATAGAACAGAAAGTCTTGTATTATTATTCTGTATAATTGTATATTGTATGCTACCAGGAGCTTTGTACAGAGTTGAAGGACATTTTTCTGTGTGGTAATCTTGGATATTGTATTGGGCTTTTGTTACTAAGATACTAACCTTTCATTTTTGAGAATTTTCACAAATTAGTCTTGGTACAAGGACTCACGCTCACATTCATACTAGTACACTAGTCACTACTCTCTAGTCTCTACCCCAAAAATTGACATTAATTCATTAAGGTTCTCTTACATTTTAGACGTTTTTGGCTTATAGTCTTCTCTTCGTACCAAAAACCCAAAAATATCCGTGCTACCAATTGTACCTGTAAAACCAATCAATTGAATAAAAATGTACTCCGTGCTTTCCAATAAATTTTTCTAAAATTAAATTAATTAATACGAAGTACTTTATAAGTTGTTTATTTAGCCACTAAAACACTGTTAAGACCCCAATCAAAACTTAGTTCTAATCATAAAAAATTGGTAATTTACAAGAATAATTACAACCCGATTAATTAAAATAAGTTTAATCAAGAACAAATTTATAATCAACACCATTATTTTAAATTTGCCAAATGAATCAAAATTCGACAAAATTAAGGCTACTTTGATCAAAATTTGCTTAAACACAGTCTCTAGTCTTTGTTAAGCTACACAAGTCACAACCCCTGGTCAAAATTGCTCATCTTCGTTTTTCTGGCGAATCCTCCAACATTTTTACTCAGGTGTATTACACTCATATTTCCCTTTTCTCAAAGTTGTAATCTACTGTACATCATACCATGCCAAATTTCTTGCCCAATTAAATTCATAAACTGGGTATTTATCTAATTTCTTCTAATCATCAAACAATTCATCACTTTTTTCACCCATTCATTTGTGAAACTCTAGGCATTGCTTCAATTTCTGGGGTTATTTTCAGTTGGCTAATTAATTTTCAACATTTTTATTCTGGGTTTTTGTTCAATTTCAGGCTTTGATGATGAATTCAGAAAAATCAAAGTGGGATGGGACAATTTCACCAGATGAATTTCTTAAAGGAGCTCTTGCTTTTGCTGAGAAATGGAAGAAAGTTTGCCTAAATCATAATCATGATCTTCCTAATTGGTTTTGGGTTTCTTGTCTAAACCCACCATTCCTCAATTCCCACGAAGTAATGTCTTTTTTTTTCCAGAATTCATTTTTGAGTTGATAGTGTATTTTGAACTTAGTAATAACATAAAATTTTGAACTAGTAACATCATATTACAAAATTCGGACAGAAGGGGAAATTATTTTACTTTGGTTATTGTTTATAGTTATGATTTTGAATTTTTTGATTCGTCACTGCTACTTGCTGAATATGATGTTTACATTGCTTACTGGGAATTAAGCTGAGTAAAAGTAAGAGATTTTGATATTTGATTTTCTTGATCTTGAATTTTGAACAAGGATGATTGTTATTGTTGATAATTTTAAATGTGACATATTTATCTACAAATTTTTTGTTTTTTTTTTTTTAAAGAACATATTTATCTACATAATATTTTTTTTGTTATTGACTTTCTCATGACACACCTTTTTTATCAACAGAATTTATTTGATTATTTATTTTTGGTGATGGAAGGTAGCTTTTGTTGGTTAAAATGTGCTGTAACTGCTGTTCTTTCATACTTTTCTAGTTTTCTTCTGTGCTGATTTTTCGCGATAGCTGTCTGTTCAGTCTTTTAAGTTAAGCTGTATTGTTGCAGGTAGATGGATATCTATCACTGGAGAAGATGTGCATTTTGAGGTCTGATAAGGTCTGTTTCTTATGAATGATGGAAATTGTTGGCTATGTGTTAGTTTTGATTTCCTGTTTTATATGCAGATAGATGATGAAAAAGTTGGTTATGCTGTGGAGGAAATGCCTAACTGCTTAGAGAGCGAGGAGTGTACTGATCCTGCAAGGCTGGTATAAAACTGTTTCATTAACATGCTCCTATAACTGTGCTTCAATGTAAGAGACTTAATAATTAGGTTGTCGAAAATCTTGCTAGAATGTGATATGGTAATTGAGATATCTTTTAAATGATTCTGGTTGCTAGGTTCAGGAGGCTGCCCAGGAAGTGCATTATTATGACTTCCATATAGTATACAGCAATTCCTACAGGATTCCGGTGTTATATTTCCGTGGTTATAATTCAGGTATGTGTCCATTAAGCAATCATGCTATTTGTCAATAGGTGGTATGATCCCTTGGATTTTATTTTTCCATGCTTGTAAATCATTTTAATCCATATTTCTTCATCTAGTCAACTGTGACAAAGGAAGGGGTGTTGCATGCTGTATAACTACATAAATGAATAATTTCTCATTTAAAGCTTATGTTTTGTTGAAACGCAGATGGACAAACATTATTGTTGGATCAAATTGAAAGAGATCTCCCTCCCAGATCTGTTGAGGTGCTTACTGAATCAAAGTGGACATTTATAACTCAACAGGTGGTATTTCTTTTTTCTTGTTATAGTGGCTTTCTATTGCAAATCCTTCGTAGATTTTGTGTCATACTTAATAATAATATTATATATCTCACATGTATAAATACTTTTGACTATAACTGTCATAAATGCTGAATGGATTCATGCTATATCCCACTTGACTATTGTTTCATGCTGTAACAGAAAGCATATGAACAATTGTCAGGTGATGTTAAGGAATTCTGCTGAATATTGAAATAATCAAAGTGGTGCTGCCTAAAATGTTTGATTAAAGTCAATCATCTAGTAGTTCATCTATCAAGAGCTGTAGAGATCTTAAAAGTTGTGAATTTAATAGTAAAAGGATTCACCTACACCTTGCATATCAGGAAGAAATTGAATAACAATCATCAACGTGTGAAAAGGTTGAAGCCGTGATAACCCTTCAAAATACTTACCTTAAGCTTCATGGATAGGGCCCCCACATATTCATGCTTTTTCGGTCCAAATGCTTGGTTGTTTATTCATAGTCATGGTGTGTGAACATAACTTGTGAAAAAGCGTAGTAAAGTATGAAGGATGTTTCAGTCACGAGAATATATTTATTAGTAAGTTTCATGCTTGCCATTTGACCTAAATGAACTAGTTGGCATCTCCCTGATCCTTTTTTGATTCTTCTCTCAAATGCTTAGTAGGTCCTGAAGTTTGTAAAAATTTATGCCGCACATTGTCCCCAATTAAATAATAGGAAAATTTCATATAAACTGCCAGCAAAAGGACCCTATTTCACATTTGCTACCCCTTTAAAATTTTATTTTATTTTACTACCACCGAAACACACTAACTTTCATAATCACTACCACTTAACGGAATCCGTTAGATTTCCGTTAAGTTTATTAAAAAAAAAATTAAAAAATTAAAAAAAAAATTAAAATAATAAATAAATAAATATAAAATGAAAAAACCACCCAAAAAACCCTAGCCCTCCCCGTCATCCACCCTCCCCCCTCCCCCGGCCGGCGGCCAGCGCCCAAACCTGCGGCCGGCGCCGGCGATTCGGGTCGGAATCGGACCCCTCCCCTCCCCTTCCCCACCCAAAACCGACAATCCTAACACTAATCCCCCTACCCGAAACCACCCTAAACGAGTTTTAGGGTTTCGCTTAGGGTGGTTTTTGGTGGCAGGGAAATCCTTCGTCGCGGCCAGAATAGGGAACGGGGGACGATGAGGGGTTGGATCGGGTTTCGAGGGGAGATGGGCTGGGATCGACGGGGGTTTCGAGGGGAGAGGGGCTGGGATCGACGGGGGTTTCGAGGGGAGAGGGGCTGGGATCGACGGTGGTTTCGAGGGGAGAGTGGGGCTGGGATCGACGGGGGTAGGGGAGAGAGGGGCTGGGATCGACGGAGGTTTTCGAGGGGAGAGGGGCTGAGATTGAGGTGGGTTTCAAGGGGAGAGAGGGGCTGATCGGGTTTTCGAGGGGCTGGGAATGCGACGTCGGCGCCGACAATCAGGGTGGTCGGAGTCGCGGACAGCAGGGGATTGGGCTCAGGCAACTATGGCAGTGGCTTGGTGGCTGGGCTGGACGGTGAGTGGTGGTTGCGGCGGATTGGCAGCTGGTGGGTGGGAAGGAGTGGTGGCTGGACGGTGGTTGGGTGGTGGTAACGAAAATACTAACGGTGTAAGTCAAGTGGTAGTGATTATAACAGTTAGTGTGTTTGGGTGGTAGTAGTATAAAATAAAAAATTAAAGGGGTAGCAAATGTGAAATAGGGTCCTTTTGCTGGTAGCAAATGTGAAATTTTCCTAAATAATATTTGTGGTCTTAAATCGACCCGAGTAAACTTTAAGTTCTGTAATCCTGTCCTTTTTTCTTTGTTCTTATTTTGGATAATTTTATGTTGGTGCAACTTTGAAACCAGCATCTCTTGATACACTGATTTTTATTGGCTGCAAATAAACTGGTTGTAAATTATATAATATTTAACTCACATATATTCAACTAATGCAAGAACAGGTTTCAGATTATCTTGTTTGAGTTTAACTAATGTTTGTCAGTTTCACAACATTACAGGAGCATCCCTATTTGAATAGACCTTGGCACACACTACATCCATGTGGAACGAATGAGTTGATGAAGCTACTCCTGAGTAATACTTCTCTGTCTGAAGATAAAGTTGGAACAGAATGTTATATCATATCATGGCTCTCAGTTGTTAGCCAGGTTGTTGGTCTTAGGGTGCCCCTTCAGATGGCAGCTCTATGTCACGAGTAGTTCTTCTCACGTTCCTTAACCCTACCTCAGGAGAAATCGGGCAATTCTAAAAGTGCTGATTGTGTAATTTGATTTTTGGTGCAATACTTCATGTATTTTTTTTCCAACATGCTCCTTTATGTCCACAATGGCTTCGGTAAAAACATGATAGTGTTGGATGGTCATTTGCGCAGGCTTAATTCTTTGCTGTTTGGCTGATGCCTGTAAATAATCATACAAGAACTAGCTGGAGAACGCCTGGCTTCCATTGTAGAGAGCTTTGGGTCTTTTTTTTAAAGCACCTGAATGAAATTATCAACATTGTCCAGTGCAAAACATCACTGGTTTTGCTAAGTTATTTTGTTGCTCGTAATATAGCAGAACAATTTTTGTAGACCAACTCATTGCTTAAAGGTATCTTGGCCTTCTTTGATTTGTTCATATTAGGAGTGGCAACGGATCGGATTCGGGTCAGATGTGGCTAAATCCGAATCCGATCCGTTTAGTAAATGGACCCTAGACTCGGATCCGAATCCGAAAATTACGAGTCGGATCGGGTTCGAATTTTTTTTTGTAATGTCATATACCTATAATTGCTTGTATTGTCATACCAATTAAAGTATAAACATAACATATTTAAATTATAACTAAGTTACATAACAAAATTTTGCTACAAAACAAGCAAATAATTGTCCCAAGTTATAGAGCATATATATGCTTATACTTTTGGATTCAGACTCGGATCGGACTTTGCGTAGGGTCCAAGTCCAATCTACCTCCTATTCGGATTCGGATCTATTTTATCGGATTCGAATTCGGACTAATATTAAACGGATTCGAATTGGATTTTTTCCTTCGGATCAGATCGGATTCGAATCGAACTCGGATTAAATTGCCAACCCTAGTTCATATTTTAGGCGAAAGCTTCAGTTAAAAGTTAGTGAATGATAACGACAAAACCAGTGCAGAAATGGATTTTCATTATATTTCAAGCTAACATCCATTTACATATGGCTTATTGAATTGAGATGAAGGAAACTCAAAAGATTCTCCGATCAAAGTACTTAAGATAAAATTATTAAAGAGATTAATTACAGCATAAAGACCCCCAAACATAAAACAGATATGACTTAATGTTTCCGAACAGAAGGGAAAATGCAACATGGTCTGGTTACCCATTTGTGATCAGAATATTAACCAGGAATCACAGTTATTTTGCGTAGCTATTGACAGAGCTTAATCAGGAATTATCTTCAAACTCGTACTTCTCTTCATTCTTTCCTAAATCCAAGCATATGCATAAATCATCACAATTTCTGGTACATTCTAAAACAACATCGCTGACGTTTTGAGCAAGACATTCATTTCTCTACTCCTTGTTACTCATCAGCAAAAATCTTCTCCTCCAATGGTGCCGTTTCCTTTCATGAAGTGCCCAGGAGAATGTCAGATAATACATGGTGCATTGCCTTTATAAATGATAAAACACGTCTACGTGGTTGCCTCAGCTGTTCGATCAAAGCGAACCAAGAACTCTATATTACCCTCAGCCCCCTTCAAAGGAGACTCAATCCACCCTTTGCTTTCGAACCCAAAACTTTGCACCCCATTTATGATCCTCTCTAAAACCTGCAGCAAGCAGTCCAGTAAAACCAAATACTCACTTTCAGTGATGCAGAGCAGCAACAAAAGCGTGATGCAGAGCAGCAACAAAAGCTACAATAGCTTATAATAATAGTATAGAGAAAGCAAACTTAACCAAGGTCATAATAGTCCAAAAATTCTACAAGAATTCCTAGTTAGAAAGCTAGGCTGTAACATAAGTTGCTGGCCTTGCTGCCAACCATTCAATGACAGGAAAGGCCACTTCTTGAAATTCAAGCATTTTCTTATACAAAGTATTTTAATCCCTCGACTTTGGGAGGGAAAGGCAACAGATAAAGTGAATAAGAGTTTATATGATCTCATGTCCTCAGAAGAATCAAGATTCAGAGTAACCCTAAGAAGTACAGAGATGCAAAAGCTTAAAAGGCAAATGTAAGCAGAAGGCTAGATAATCATCCAACCAACTTAATAACCCGTAACAAAAACACGTTGATAAGTTGCCTCTTTATAGTGCAAAATTTAGACGTGAAATAGTTTGTAGAAGGCAACATATAGAGGGACGGTGGCGAATATTATAACCAACTTAATAACCATTAAAACAAGTTGATGAGTTACCTCTTTATGGACATCTGGATCTCTAACAATACCGCCACTTCCCACCTGCAACAAGAAATGAAAAGAACAAGTTAGCTCAACTCTACGTCCTTTTTCCTACCTAAGAAAAATGTTAAAGTACAAATCAATTAAGACAGTCATCACCACCAAAATCTCATTCTTGCTCTAACATGATCCATGACTAAACATAGAGTTGTCAATTAGGGTATTCAAGTTGGGTTTGGGTCGGGTCAAATTAGGTCTCAGGTTAAATCAGGATCAGGTTATATCGGGTCAATCTAGCTTCAAATCAGGTTCAAGTGCAGGTTGGGTCAATTTCAATTCAAGTTATAACGGGTCGTTCACCTTTTCGGATATAGTTCGGGTTCAATTCGAGTTAAAATCAGTTCAGGTTCAATTTCAGGTTCAGGTTGTGTTGAGTCGGGTTTGGATGGGTTAACAAGATGGTATATTCGGGTTCGGGTTAGTGTTGAGTCGGGTTCTGGTTCAAGTTCAATTCTAATAAATATCGATGTGGCCAAGTTGAACTATATAATTACGTCTTCCATAATTTGATCAAGCATCATCAAGATTTTATTAAACCTATATACGAGTAACAAAGAATATAAGTTATATAAGCTGAACAAAAGATTTTATTAAATCGGATTGAAGATTTACAGAATTATACCAGTATATAAGCTGAATAAACGGTATATAAAATTTTATTAAACCTTCCATGACTCGGGTTCATGTATTGATTGGGTCGTGTACTAGTTCAGGTTCGGATTATTTTCGGGTTGGATTAAATGGGTTGACTGTTACTATCGGTCGGGGGCAGGTTCGGGTTCAGGCCATAAAGTATTGGATAAAATGGGTTTTCGGTTAAGATCTGGTCAGGTTAAGTCAGGTTACAGGTCACTAGTTTCACCCCATTATCCGAGTAAAGGCTGGGTTTCCGTTAAGGTCGGGTTCTCGGATCGGGTCAAATTTTGTCTCCTCTAGCTATAATCCACACTTTTTGAGGAAATTTTGAGGTTTCGGGACCGGGTGACAAAGTGTTGAGACCCTAGGGGATATATCTCGGGTTCATATAATGCCGTTTGAAACCATATATGATCATTATATGTTGTCATAAACGTACATGGTAAGCTTGAATTTACGAAATCAATGCAAGTTGTGAACGGGTAAAATGACCATTTAAGGGAATATTGGATAGTTCCACTGACCCAATTGGACACCCGGAGGGTATTAGGTACCATGGTAAACATCTCAGCAATTTTTATATCCGGACGAAAAGAGGTCAGAAAATTACAAAATTGAAGGTTATAACCTACGCTTTTTAAGGAAATTTTTGAGGTTTCAGGACCCGGTGGCGAAAATTGTTGAGACCATAGGAGATATATCTCGGTGTCATATAATGCCGTTTGAAACTATATATGAACATTATATGTTGTCATAAACGTCTGTGGTAGACTTGAGTTTACGAAATCACTGCAAGTTGTGAACGGGTAAAATGATCATTTAAGGGCATATTGGATGTTGGACTCCCGGAAGGTATTAGGGACCATGGTAAACATCTTTGCAATTTTTATTTCTAGGCGAAAAAAGGTTAAAAAATTACAAAATTGAAGGCTATAATCCACGCTTTTTGGTGAAATTTTAAGGTTTCAGGCCCGGTGGCGAAAAGCCTTGAGAACCCTAAGGGTACATCTCGAGGTCATATAATGTTGTTTGAAACCATATATGATCATCATATGTTGTCCTAAACGTCCGTGGTAGGCTCGAGTTTACGAAATCACTACAAGTTGTGAATGGGTAAAATGACAGTTTAAGGGCATATAGGATGATTCCACCGACCCAATTGGACTCTTGGAGGGTATTAAGGACCATAGTAAGCTTCTCTGACGAAAAAAGGTCAAAAAATTTCAATATTGAAGGCTTCAAGGTTTTGGGGTCTAGCGGCGAAAAGTGTTAGAGACCCTAGGAAATAAATCTTGGTGTCATATAATGTCGTTGGAAACCATATATGATCATTATATGTTGTCATAAACGTACGTAATATGCTTGAGTTTACAAAATCACTGCAAGTTGTGAATGGGTAAAATGACCGTTTAAGGGCATATTGGACGGTTCCACCAACACAATATGACTCCCGGAGGATATAAAGGACCATGGTAACATCTCAGCAATTTTTATTTCCGGGCTAAAAGGTCAAAAAAATTACAAAATTGAAGGCTATATAATCCACGCTTTTTTGAGGAAAATTTGATGTTTCGGGATCCGGCGGCAAAAAGCCTTAAAACCCTAAGGGATACATCTCGGGGTCATATAATGCCGTGTGAAACCATATATGATCATTATATGCTGTCATAAACGTCCGTGGTACGCTTGAGTTTACGAAATTAGTGGAAGTTATGAACGGGTAAAATGGCCATTTAAGGGCATACTGGACAGTTCCACCAACCCAATTTGACTCCCGGAGGATATTAGGGTCCATGGTAAACATCTCGGCAATTTTTATTTCCGGGCAAAAAAAGGTTAAAAAATCACAAAATTGAAGGCAATAATGCACGCTTTTTTAGGAAATTTTGAAGTTTCGGGGCACGGTGGCGAAAAGCCTTGAAACCCTAAGGGATACATCTCGGGGTCATATAATGCCGTTTGAAACTATATATGATCATTATATGTTGTCATAAACGTACGTGGTAAGCTTAAGTTTATGAAATCACTTCAAGTTGTGAACGGGTAAAATGACCGTTAAAGGGCATATTGGATGGTTCCACCGACCCAATTGGACTTCCGGAGGGGATTAGGGACCATGGTAAACATCTTGGTAATTTTTATTTCCGGGCGAAAAAAGGTTAAAAAATTAAAAATTGAAGACTATAATCCACGCTTTTTGAAGAAATTTTGAGGTTTCGGGGCCCGGTAGTGAAAATCCTTGAGAACCCTAAGGGTACATACATCTCGGGGTCATATAATGTTGTTTGTAACCATATCTGATCATCATATGTTGTCATAAACGTCCGTGGTAGGCTTGAATTTACGAAATCACTGCAAGTTGTGAACGAGTAAAATGACCGTTTAAGGGCATATTGGACGGTTCCACTGACCCAATTGGACTCCTGGAGGATATTAGAGACCAAAACAAACATCTCGACAATTTTTATTTCCGGACGAAAAATGGTCAAAAAAAAAAAAAAACTACAAAATTGAAGACTATAATAATCCACGCTATTTAAGGACATTTTGAGGTTGAGAACCTAGGGTATAAATCTCGGGGTCATATAATGCCATTTGAAACCATATATGATCATTATATATTGTCATAAACGTACATGGTAGGCTTGAGTTTACGAAATCAATGCAAGTTGTGAACGGGTAAAATGACCGTTTAAGGGCATATTGAATGGTTCCACCGACCCAATTGAACTCCCGGAGGGTATTAGGGACAATAATAAACATCTTGGTGTTTTTATTTCCAGGCGAAAAAAGGTTAAAAAATTACAAAAGTTAACGGTATAATCCGCGCCTTTTTTAGGAAATTTTAAGGTTTAGAGGCATGTGGCGAAAAGCCTTGAGACCCTAAGGGATACATCTCGGGTCATATAATGCCGTTTGAAATCACATATGATCTTTATATGTTGTCATAAACGTCCGTGGTAGGCTTGAGTTTACATTCTATGCAAGTTGCGAACGCGTAAAAAGATCGTTTAAGGGCATATTGGATGGTCCACCGACCCAATTGGACTCTTGGAGGGTATTAGGGACCATCGTAATCATCTTAGCAATTTTTATTTCTGTGCGAAAAAAGGTCAAAAAATTACAATATTAAAGGCTAATCCACGCTTTTTTAGGAAATTGTGAGGTTTTAGGGTCCAGTGACGAAAAGTGTTGAGACCCTAGGGAATATATCTCGTTGTCATATAATGTCGTTTGAAACCATATATGATCATTATATTTTGTCATAAACGTACGTGATACGCTTGAGTTTACGTAATCACTTCAAGTTTTAAACGGGTAAAATGTTCGTTTAAGGGCATATTGGACTATTCCACCAACCCAATTTGACTCCTAGAGGATATTAGGGACCATGGTAAAAATCTCGTCAATTTTTATTTCCGGGCAAAAAAAGGTCAAAAAATTACAAATTTGAAGGCTAATCCACGCTTTTTTAGGAAATTTTGAGGTTTCGGGGCCCGGTGGCGAAAAGCCTTGAAACCCTAAGGGATACATCTCAGGGTCATATAATGCCGTTTGAAACCACATATGATCATTATATGTTGTCATAAACGTCCGTAGTAGGCTTGAGTTTACGAAATCAGTGCAAATTGTGAACGGGTAAAATGACCGTTTAAGGGCATATTGTATGGTTCCAACGACCCAATTGGACTCTCGGAGGATATTAGGGAAAATGGTAAACATCTTGGTAATTTTTATTTTCGGGTGAAAAAAGGTTAAAGAATTACAAAATTAAAGGTTATAATCCACGCTTTTTTAGGAAATTTTGAGGTTTAGAGGCTTGTGGCAAAAAGCTTTTAGACCTTAATGGATACATCTCGGGGCCATATAATGCCGATTAAAACCATATATGATCATTATATGTTGTCATAAACATCCGTGGTAGGCTTGAGTTTACAAAATCAGTGCAAGTTGCGAACACGTAAAATGACCGTTTAAGGGCATATTGGTTGGTTCCACCGATCCAATTGAACTATTGGAGGGTATTAGGGACCATGGTAAATATCTCAGCAAATTTTATTTCTAGATGAAAAAAAGGTCAAAAAATTACAATATTGAAGCCTTGAAGGCATAATCCACGATTTTTTAGAAAATTTGAGGTTTTGTGGTCCTATGGCGAAAAGTGTTGAGACCCTAAGGAATATGTCTCGATGTCATATAATGTCGTTTGGAACCATATATGATCATTATATGTTGTCACAAACGTACGTGATACGCTTGTGTTAACGAAATCACTTCAAGTTGTGAATGGGTAAAATGACCGTTTAAGGGCATATTGGACGGTTCTACCGACCCAATTTGACTCCCGGAGGATATTTGGGATCATGGTAAATATCTCGGCAATTTTTATTTCCGGGCGAAAAAAGATAAAAAAAAATTACAAATTTGAAGGCTATAATCCACGCTTTTTGAGGAAAATTTGAGGTTTCGGGGCCCAGTGGCAAAAAACCTTGAAACCCTAAGGGAAATATCTCGGGGTCATATAATTTCGTTTGAAACCATATCTGATCATTATATGTTGTCGTAAATGTTCGTGGTAGGCTTGAGTTTACGAAATTACTGCAAGTTGTGAATGGGTAAAATGACCGTTTAAGGGCATATTGGACGGTTCCACCAACCCAATTTGATTCCCGGAGGATATTAGGGGCCATGGTAAACATCTCGGCAATTTTTGTTTACGGGAGAAAAAAGGTCTTAAAATTACAAAGTTGAAGGCTTATAATCCACGCTTTTTGAGGAAAATTTGAGATTTTGGGGCCCAGTGGCGAAAAAACTTGAAACCCTAAGGGATACATCTCGGGGTCATATAATGTCGTTTGAAATCATATATGATCATCATATGTTGTCATAAACGTCCATGGTAGGCTTGAGTTTACGAAATCACTGCAAATTAGGTAAAATGACCGTTTAAGGGCATATTTGATGGTTCCATCGACCCAATTGTAGACCCAATTGTACTCCCGCAGGATATTAGGGACCATAGTAAACATCTTGGCTATTTTTAGTTCCGGGCAAAAGAAGGTAAAAAAATTACAAAACTGAAGACTATAATCCACGTTTTTTTGAGGAAATTTAAAGGTTTCGGGGCCCGGTGGCGAAAAGCCTTGAGACCCTAAGGAATAAATCTCGGGGTTATATAATTGCATTTGAAACACATATGATCATTATATGTTTTCATAAACGTTCGTGGTAGACTTGATCTTACGAAATCACTTCAAGTTGTGAACGGGTAAAATTACTTCAAGTTGTGAACGGGTATATTCGGGTTCGAGTTAGAATTGAGTTGGGTTTAGGTTCAAGTTCAATTCCAATAAATATCGATGTGCTCAAGTTGAACCTTTATAATTACGCCTTCCATAATTTGATCAACTTTATCAAGATTTTATTAAACCTATATATGAGTAATAGAGAACAAAAGGTGTACAAGCTAAATCGGATTGTGGGCTTGCTGGATTTGTACTTGTATATAAGTTGAACAAAAGGCATACAAATTTTATTAAACCTTCCATGACTCGGGTACATGTTCTAGTTGGGTCGGGTACTAGTTCTGGTACAGATTGTTGTTTGGTCGGTTTAAATTGGTTGACGGTTACTCTCAGGTCGGGAGCAGGTTGGGGTTCAGGTAAAAAAGTATTGGATCAAATCGGTTGTCAGTTAACATATGGTCAGGTTCGGGTAGGTTGGGTTCAGATCATTACCGGTTCAGGTTGAGTTCTTGGGTCGAGTCAGTTTTTGACAGCTCTAACTAAACATGACTCTTGAACTTGGATACCAAATTTAGTTCAATTGTTACATAACTCCAGAATATCTTTCCAGGCAATCTTATAAAGATAAAAGTGAACTTCCTAGTAATTAAACACAAAAAATTGGAGTACAAAACATAAAATTGTCTTCTGAAAAATTCATCTTGTCAAACAGTAATATTTGTAGCTAAAGGGCATACAAGTTTAAGGATGATAATCAAGAGACAGCAGAAGACGCAATTACCTGGGATCTCCTTGCTTCAAATTGAGGTTTCACAAGGGTGATCAGCGTGGACTGCTCCTTCATCACCTTAATCACCGCAGGCATCACCTGTGTCGATATATTAATAAGACAGAAGAGCTCAATATGCTAGAATTTAAGTTCATTAAATGATACAGCAGCTTACAAGCAATTTCATGCATCAAAGACATTTAAACAAGAAGTTATAACTACTGCTTGATCGTACCACGAGTATAGAAATAAATGAAAGGTCTAAAGTCACCAAATCAACTTGTTGCGGAAGTCCAGGAAGATATCTTAAATTTGTCCGCTCAATAACAGAGACTCGCTCATCTCGACGAATTTTATCTGCCACCTGTGGATATGTCACTAAGTTTATTCAGCAAGCCAATATAATAGTGAAAAAGTCTGAATATCGGAGGTACAAGGATCCTTTCAGTAATATAGTTTTAATAAAACATCAAATTTCTCTTTGCAAATCACAAAGCATATGTCATAATCAACTTAAGTATATTCCTTTTGTCCTAATAGCATCTAATCAAGTGCGTCAAAATCATGCCAATCTTATCCCAGTCCCATTTACACTGCTCTTAATATCTTTTGGGTGTTTAAACTTTCAAGATTTACTTGGGTTCAAGAGTTGTAAAGATACCTGCCCATAGCCTACATCAACTCCATATACATACACCGCACCATACTGGAGCAGGCAATCAGTAAACCCTCCAGTTGACAATCCAGAGTCGAGAGCAACTTTCCCAGTAACATCGACTTCTAGTTGCTCAATAGCAGCCTCCAACTTGTATCCTGCTCTGAAGCAGATGTCAGCATACAAGTAGTTTCTCATTATAATGTGCACAAATTTTGCAATACCAAAAGCATCAGGGTTTCATTTCAGAGTAATCACCTACATACATATTTAGGAATTTCTGCAATTATCTCCACAACAGCTTCATTTGAGACAGGTGTCCCAGCTTTATTCACCACTTTACCATTCACACACACTTTCCCTACAACCAAAAAAGAGACAAAAGAAATCAGCTTCCACGCAAATATGAGATACTTGAATGTTGCAACTGCATTGTCCCCAACAAGACTCCTAACACAAAGTATATGAACATATAAGGCCCTTATTGAGGCAAATCTTACCTTGTATTATCCATGACTGTATGAAGGTTCGGCTATATTGCTGAAACCTCTCCAAGCATACCTCATCCAGTCTCTTTTTCCTAAGAATGTCAAAATTTATATATTATATCAGAAGAGAGTTATTAAGAAAGAGAGATTCGAAAGATCAGGGTAGGGATAAATGGATCATTGTCAAACCAAAGCACGAGTGAACATGTTATCTTACTCTAAGCAGTTTTTAGACAAGCACCATGTCAAGTCATTACAAAAACATGAACATTCAAGTGGTTCAAAAACATTTTGAAGTAATTAATAGGCATACATCACCATTCTCAAAGTTGAAAAGAAGATTTAGCAACCTAGAAGAGTTGAAGATACAAAATAAAAAGAATTAATGGTTCATAGGAAAAAGATGATGCCTAACAGACCCATCATATAGGGCACATTGCTACCATCAGGTAGAAATGTAGAATCAATAGTTCACTCTCAAGCTGTTTAGCGGGTTTCATTAGTTGCACCATCCTAAAAAGCAAAACAACTAGGACATTTATTGCCATATTGTGGATACATCTTGGCTGAATGTGACCAGCATTGAACTACATGTGCAGTTCACTATATCTTTACAGCTACTGCATGAAATACAATATTAAGCAATGTACTCTGACTGGCAATCCAGAAACATTCCTTTCTAACAGCACCACATCTATGAAACCCAATCATTCATGTTTTCTTACACATATCATGTGAGCAAAATAATGTTAACAAACAGAATAACACTACTCTTGAGACACCCGAGCTATATGTTTGATTTCAGCACTTTTCATATAGCTAGTATCAATGCTCCACGATGACCTCAGTAATGAATTATTTGTGCTTCAACATTTCTTTTCAGAATCAGTTCTAAGATGAATAGTCGATAATGGCCATAACAAATCCAATTCATTGAGATAATTTAACAATTGGAAGAAATGAATAACCCAATGACTATAATGACACAATAAGTGTGAAAGACACACAAATTAATCCACTGAATTACTGTAACAAATCAATGCATATTTTAGCACCAAAAGCTTACTTCTTTGATGGATAGAACTTGGCTGACTTTGCAGAGAAACTTCTGATGGAACAATGCTGATTACCTCTGAACCATCTCACTGGTGACAATTCACATGACCCAAAAAAAAAATATAAATAAATCAACTTAAACTCTATTAACAGCACAGAACTTGAATTTTTTTAGAAAATTTGTTGCAATACTATTAGTCTATTAACACTGGTATTATTAAAGATAATAATTTGATAATACTTGCAATAACAATTAACAAATTAAATGATAATTTAAGCTAGAATAACATATAGAGGCAAAACAAGAAGATTTGACATTAATCATGCTATGAATTGTTACAAAAGTTCAAAACATTAGTACCCAATTAGGCAATTAGCAAGACCCAGATACTTAAAAACCTATAATAAAGGTTCAATTTTGACTCATCTCTGTTATAAACTAGAAGAACCCCACAAATAATAATAGAATTAGCACGAATATCATTGAACATTCAGTTTATTGTTTGATATAATGAAGAAAGAAGCATAGAAAAGTGAAGAGCATACATAATAATATTAAGAAGAAAGAAAAAAGAAATCACCTGAAGAAGATGAGGAATGATGGTTAGGGAAGAAGAAAAGAGTAGAACGATAAGCCGTTCGATAAGAAGAGTGGTTTGTGAAAGGAAGCCTAAGACTCTGAAACACCATTTTCGCCTTTCTTTCTCCCTCTCTTTGGGGGATTTTTGGTTCAAGAAACGACTGTACTTCAATGATATGTTATCAGGCAGGATCCAACCCAGAAGGTATTCAAAGTTACCATATGGTCCACAAATTACCATATGGTTCACAATCCACATTGATAATGAGCAAAACCCAATTGTAATGAGTAATGAACTGGGCCGGTTAATGCGTGCGATATGTGAGTCATAACTAATTAATTAGCTAGTTATGTTCGGAAGCTTTTTCAATTTGACATTAGATAAACAAACGTTGTTATGAGAGTATAAATGTCCCTATATTTAGGAGCGGCAATTCCTGACCTGATCCAATTACACGACTCAAACTTGGCCCGAAGTTACTGAGAACCCGAACCCAACCCAAAATCCGAATTCGACCCGATTTGACCCAAATTTCATATTTCGTGATGATATTAAGTTTTACAATATTTTTGATTCTTTCTAAGTATAACCTGAAATCTAACCCAAACCCGACCTGTTAACCCGAATTACTACCCATAGCTATACTATTCTTAAGAGTTTATAAAAAGAGGCAATTAGCACTATTGAGGCAAAACAATAAATAAACATGTTAGAAGAGGGACTTAAACTCAAGCGTAGACACATGATTTTTGGCATGTTGATGTCAATATACTTGGCCTATATCCAAGTATATTTCTACGGAAAAAAATAATTAATTTTTTTACAAACTCCGAGTAATTATCAATACTTTTTAATTGTAACGAAATAGACATGTTGAATAAATTCAAAGGTATGTACATACCTCATTTATTAGAGAAGTTTTATCAAAATAAATGACTCTAATCAAACTTCAACTTTCATGATATATTTGATCCAATATTTACACTTCAAACACTAAAATACAAGAGAAATGATATTAAAAAAATTTCCTCTAACTATATATTACGTATATCCTTATTTCAAAATATATATATTATGTATATCCTTATTTATTAAGATTCGAACCCCTAACGTCTGGAACAATCCCTATAATGATACCGGATACGCCTACATGGAGAATATGTGATACAATTGTCTCACAACCACTAAAGAACAAGGGCAACATTTATAAGGCAGGGAAAAGAGTAGCTAAAATTGCGCGGCAACGGGGGCTAACAAGTAACAACCGAACAAACCCTATCCATCTTTTCACCTAGTCTTTACAGAAACAAGATCATCATATTCTTCCTACATCTCAGTAAAATTACTACCCTTTTACTTGTTAATATGTCTCTTCAATCTGCCAATGTTACATCTTTTCACAAACCCCATCAATTTAAATCTTCAATTAAGCCTCTTTCTAAATTACCCAAGTCCAAAATTGTGGTTACCAAAAGGAGGAAACCATTTAAATTGATTTGTAGCCAAGATGAGGTGATTAATTATTTATATTAGCAACTCTAAAATGGTTTTAATTAAATGTGTTTTTTCTGTTAGATTAATTATATATTTTTGGTTGCAGGATTATTACTTGGATGCTCCTGTTTCTGCTGGTGATGGCTTCTCTTTCAGTGGAGGTAATGTTTCTTATTAATTGTGGATCTCCTGTATTTGATCATCTGTTGTGTAATAGGCCAGTTTTTATACTTGGTAATATTGTTAGATTGTGTAAATCTTTTTGTAACAGGAGTTTATTGCAACGATCATATCTATAAGGGTTACAATAGCAATGCAATTATAAACTTGATGGGATAAAATCATAAGAATCAGGGTTACTTAAAGATTTGATTTTATTTATGAATTATCACAATTTACATGTAACATAATACATATGGCTTAACAAAATTAAAAATCACATTATTTTTTTTGGCAGGAAAGTATTCAGATGGATCAAGTCCTGCTGATGAATGGTTCAAGCAGGGGAAAATGGTCAGTCAGTATTTTTTTAACAACGTTTTCATTTATTTAAAAAAAAGAAAAAAATATTATGCCTTTGGTGCTATAAAAAATTGCTAAGTGTGGAGGAGGGCCAAGGCACAGTACCTAAATGTGGGGCACTGGATGCTGTTGCTGCCTAAAAGCATGCACATGGCCTTAGGGCGGTTGTGCTGCTGCTGCACACCCATGCCCTAGGCATGGGCACGAGGCATAAAAACACACCCCATCCTTAAAAAAACACCTATTTTAGCAATTTAGGGAAGCGTCTTGGCTTATCTTAGGGCCAAACTACCAAAACAAGGCAATGCAAGGCCTTGGAAGGCAAGGCAAAAGGCAATACAAGCCAAGGCAATGTAGCCAAGCCAAGGTAACAAGATGAGGCAAGACAACTAGACAAGGGATGACATCTTAAGACACAACGACGAAGGGTCCCCAAGGCATGAATGAGATAATTGTGGCCTTCTGGGCACTAAGTAGGCCTCTCGGAGCCCTTTGGAAACCTCAAGAACCACCTCAATGCATTAACTTAGCATATCCAAAAATGTACTCCGAAGGCCAAATTTGAAGGCTATAATACACTAAATCGGACCAGATTTAAAGATTTTGGGACTTGATGTTTAAAAATCTCATAATTGAAGGGGATGCATCTTTAGGTCATTTGATGTTGTTTGGAACCATATATGACCATTAATTGGTTACATAAAGTCCCAAGGTAGCCTTGAGTAGTTGAATTAATAAAAGTAGGCGTGTACGTTTTTGTGTATTAAGTTGACATTTTTTAAGGAAAAGTGAATGGTTCTAATCGCCGAAATGGACTCCCAAGGTGTTATGGTGCCCATGAGAAGCACCTCGACCATTTCCTTTTTAGGTCCAAAAAAAAAAAAAAAAAAAAAAGTCCAAAATGGAAGGCTATAATCCACGCTTTTGAACCAATTTTGAGAAATTTTCCCCATATTGAACTGAATGCGTGGGGGTGTCCCTTGGAGTCATATTAATGCGTTTGGAACCATAAGAGGCCTACCAGTATGTTTATAAAATCCCGAGAATAAGTTTGGTTAACTATGTAGTTTTATTTGAAATTATGTTGCATTTGTAGTTAAATGCCGCAAGAGATGGTTGTTTTACCAACTTGGCATCCTGGGTTCCTATCAAGGTGTCATTGGGTTATGAATTATACTCAAATTCATTACCTGAGAATATCATACCTTCAATAAATAGCATGGGTTGTTTATGTTATACATGCATATTATTATGCTGAATTGGTGTTGTGTTTGTTATCCAACACCAATCTTTGTTGACTTTGGTTGGTTGATTGTTTGCAATTGTTCATTCATTCATGATGAAATGAGGCAATGGAAACCTCATCTCATGGTTGACAAGAATAGTCATTATTGATGGGAAATCATCATGCTTCTTTTCCCTTGATTTTTCATTTATTCCCCCTAATTATCCAGATTTGTCATTTTTTTTTTTTTGGGTACTCTGTATATCCTTGATTAGCTTTTGGTGCATTGTTTCAACTTATTCACTGTGTCACAGATATACCTTTAGTTGGTTCTTTTTTTTTTTACTGGAATATGAATTTGATTTCTTACTCTTGTTTATATACTCAAGTTATATCCTCTACTTCTTGGTTGTGCGTGCGTAGTTCAGATGTAGTGCTTCACATCAATTTCAGCTGGCTTGTCTTTGACTCTATGATCTTGCTTCCATCTACCTTCAATTGTCTTACCTTTTTCATCAATTAGGTGAAAGCTTATGTTGTTCGCGGCTCAGGTGAGAAGGCAAAAGATCCAATATTTGGGTTGACAATGGGCAGCAGTTCTCAAGCTTCTGATGACGTGTTTAGGTGAATTCCTCATAACATTTGGTATTCGTATCACAAATTTATAGCCATGATAATAATTTTGCTGCACTGGTGGCCTAGCTTCATTTTATACAGAAATTGAAGAGTGATTAATTGCAGGGTTTACCCATACACGTATTGTTTTGTACAATAATAGATGGTTTTGTGTTGAAAGTGGAAGTACTGATAATCCTTCAGTCATGCTCATTCATGGTTTTCCATCACAGGTGTGTCTTATTAGTTTCCTCTTCCTTTTTCGCAATTATTTCTGAATGAGTGTTGAACTGTTAATGAATGTTTCAGAGTGTAATACTGTCAGACATTAATGACTCATACCAATGGTTTCATGTTCATACTTGCTACCTTGACTTTTGAATGATCTTACAAGTCACAGTTAGCATTGATCTAACTAGATTTAGATGCTATGCTAGAATAATTTCACAACAAACCTTAAAATATGCTAGCATTTGATGCAGCTGCATATAATCTTAGGCAAGGATTCATTCTTGTAATCTGAATCACCGTATCTAATCGAGTGCATGATTCCAACAGGCTTACTCGTATCGCAAAGTTCTTCCAATACTTTCCAAGAACTATCATGTCATTGCTTTTGATTGGCTTGGTAATCTCTTATCTATCATAATAAATCATTAACATTTTCAACTTTTCTATGCTGTGGTAATATGTGATGTAATATGTGATATGTAGTTCTGTTCTTGGTATAGTAGTATTTGTCACAGGTTTAATGGATGTTTTGAGGCAAAGGAGAATAATATATTTGTGTTGCTATTCCACTCCTTTGCAGGATTTGGATTTTCAGATAAGCCGCAGCCTAAATATGGTTTTGACTACACAATGGAAGGTGATTTTATTTTACCAAATTCATTGGTGGATCACTGGAACTGTATGCAATGTTTCTTGGGTATTTTAGCATAACAAATATATTAATTTTTGAACTTCACATTGCTAATGGATGGTGCTATTACAGAATATACTGCATCCTTGAAAACTCTGATTGATGATCTGGTTCCGAATAAGGTTTCACTTGTCGTACAGGTACTCATTCTCTTCTTTTACAGTTCCGATTTTAATGATTTCTGCAGTGACATTCTATTGGTTGTTTACTGCAGGGATATTTCTCGCCAGTGGTTGTGAAATATGCTTTTGATCATCAGGATAAAGTCAATGATGTCATCTTAATTAATCCACCCGTATGTTTGTCGAATTTTTTCTGTTGATTTTATTTTTTTAAAATTTGTGTCAAGCTCAAACTTCTGAGAGAATGTTGTGTTTGTTTCCAAACTCTAACTGAAGCTCGAATAAGTAAACAGGATTCAACTGCTCTGAAATATAGATTCATCTTGAAATATACAAAGTATTTCCTTACATTCCAAGTAGAAGTTTGACATTCTTCCCATATTTTAATTTACTAAAGATAACTGCAAAGCACGCCAATTTGCCATCGTCATTGTCCATATTCAGCAACTTTCTGCTGGGGGAGATTTTTTCTCAGGTACAATGTTAACTTAGTTGGCTTTGCTATATTTTTGCTTTTTCTTTAAATTTTCATGTTAAAAGACTACTTTAGTTTGGCCAGAAAGTATATGCCACGATGATAGTGCAAATTTATTTTCTTTGCTGCTCATTTAGGATCCTCTCAGAGCAAGTGACAAAGCATTGACTAGTTCTGGTCCATACAAAATGAAGGAAGATGATGCTATGGTTTATAGAAGCCCCTATCTCACATCAGGATCCTCTGGTTTTGCACTAAATGCAGTCAGCAGATCTATGAAAAAGCAGTTGAAGGTTATAGTTGTTTTTGCTGAATTTCTTTGGTGTCTGAAAAAAGGGGGAAGGTAATTAGAGAGAAATTTCTGCACACTCATGTAGTGTAGTGTTATATGACAGGATTATGTTCAGGAGTCAAGGAAGATACTCGTGAGTGAAAACTGGAAAGTACGCACAACTGTTTGCTGGGGTCAAAGGGATCGATGGCTAAACTATGATGGTGTCGAAGATTTCTGCAAAGAGTCTAATCACAAATTGGTTGAACTCCCCATGGTATTGACTCTTCCTACTTAGACATGCCTGTAATTGTGTTCATTAAGTTGAACGTTCTGATTAGCAATCTTTTGCTCTCCTTTTCAGGCAGGGCATCATGTACAGGAAGACAGTGGTGAAGAGCTTGGGAATATTATTGCTGGGCTGCTCAGTAAACAGAGACGTATATAGTACTTGCATATTATTGAAGGTTTAACACACAATTCTTGCTGATCAGGCGAAATAATTCTTGCTAAAAAAATGTATTGTAGCAATTTCTATGACAAGCAGAAATGTTTATACTCCTTTGTACGTCAAATAAATGGATGATTTAGCCAATCTTTCTACTTAATCTAATGATAAGAATTTCCTTTTTCTGTTTAATAGCTAGGAAACTAAAAGTTCTCAGAAATTCTATACGCAGAGCTACAGAATAGCATGAGCATGTTATCTACATTGGCTTGTTTGCTTCCTTCTTGATGCTAAGGTTGCTAACTGTTTCTGGAGTATTATATTCATTTTCTTCAAAATAAAAAATAATCAAAGAGTTGCTGCAAGTCTGCAATAGTAAATTAGAAAGAACAATAAAGATAAATAAAAATATAAATAAACCCAGCTCATATATATATTAATCAGTTTGAATTCATTACAAAGTATGAATGGTATTACAACTTTACATATTTTGCCTTGTATAGGTAAACAAAGAAAAAATTATCGAACAAAACCTCCATCTGCTGGTGTGTCATATATGCAGCAGTAGGACAAGCTATCTGGAAAACTAATGCTTATCATAGGAGATGTGTCACTTCTGTTACAACATCTTCACATAATTTAATCAAAAGAATAAGATCGTTGTGATCAAAGACATATGAATCAGCAATTCTTCTTCATAGATCGCTGAAATGGATCTGTCCAGCAATCGTCATCTTTTACTGCTTTCTTCCATCTATTCTTGAATTTCTCTAGATCTGTAAGTGACTGTTTTCGCACCTGCAGAAGAATGGCATAAAATTACCATCATCTTTATCAAAACAATCTGACCGACAGTAACCAAACAAACTCAGATATGTTCTCTCAGGTTCCTGTTCCATTTTCATGCAAAAAAACATTCAGAGTGTTTTAATTAAGACTCACTGCGTTTCTTGCATCAGTTTTGTTGGAGGTCGATGTTTCCTGCAAATGTAACATAGACGAATAAGAATACACTTAGTAACTTCTTTCAATGTCTTAAGAAAAAAATCTCTGTGTTTGTGTTGGTACCCCTTGCAATGAATCTGATGAAGAGACTTTTCCAACTTCCTGACTTGAGGCTTCTGTATCAGTCTGCAAAAACAAACAGTAATGTTACATCTTAGCCATACAACCACAAGTCCACAACTATGGTTTTCCTATGTATGGTAAAGAATTAACTATAATATGCTGCACAAGGTACACTTTTGTTCTTTAAAAGCCTGTTTTTGGGAGCAGGAGAAGGGTAAGACCTTTCCTGTTACAGTCTATCAAGGTACTGGGAAAAGCAAGTGGCATGTAATTGTAAAACACTAAACTACATGCTAAAAAGTGATCAGTTCAATGGCACAAAAAATTGAAAAAAAAAAGGTTGATGCCCATGAGTCAAGATTCCAAACTACCGGTAATTATCTGAATTTCTACCTTGTTCTGTGCTGTGCCCCCCAGTGTAGGAAGACCATAGTGAATAACATAGTCAGAATCAACAATTCCAACTTTTCTTGTTCTATCTCCCTGTGAAGTATATATAATGAAAAATATCAGAATCTAGTATTTTAGTGAATTCAGGCAATTGATGAATTGAATATTTAAAAATTCTAATAGAGGATATTTGCCTGAGCACAATAACCAAGCTGAAAGTCCACACCCCATGCATGAACAAAGTCATTCTGCAAAACATAAGAAATGTAAAGGTTGTCAAATAATAGTCAAGTGTCTGGACAAGCATCCTAATATACATTTACCAGCCACAGTATCATGGACATATCGGATCAGGTGGTTTAGTTTGTTTGAGCCAGAGCATAAAGTATTTGCTAGCAGGAAATGTCTTCATGAACTTTACTTACTGCAATATAGCAGTATAGTTTTCAATTTTTTTTTTCTTTTCCTTTTTTGGTGCAAGAGGCCAAAGCCCAAAGATCAGCAAAGAAAACTAAGCACTAAACCGTGGCATAGCCACCCCTATGACATCCTCACAAAGAAGGTTCTTTATTTCGATAGGGGGAACCTCGAAATAGATCACCCTCTCCGCTTGAATGAACCCTACATAAGCTAACTTATCCGCTACCCTTCACCTTCACGAAAACAATGAAAAAACAAACATTATTGCCAAACGATCTTATTGACCTACGACATTCATTCAACACATGCACGGTGGATTATATAGTAGTATAGTTCAATGTATAGTATGGTATTGAAAGCGCACCTGGATTATATACCATGCACAGCGCCATGCAGCTCTTGAGAAAACTGGAGCCATCATCTCCACCCATCTGTAATATATCAGCATTGCTCAATTAAAAGTGTACAGACATATGAACTGAAGGGGGGCTCATCAACTCTCATCATCTCAATAAAGAAAATGTAAAGGAGAAAATTCAAGACATTTTTTACCCTGTGCAAGGAGGTTCTGTACTATTTTCATCACACTTTCTCCCATCAGGAAGGACGTTGTTGATTCTCCTGCAAGTACATCAAGATATCAGCCCAAAAAGCTACAAGGGTACGAAGTTTATTCAAGGAGACAGTGGCTTTTAACTACCAAATGTTAGAGACAAACACTGCAGCACATTTTAAAAGTTGAACCATATGAACAAATGATGTTAAAGCTTGCATGAATTCATCATCAATTCTAAACTCTCTCAAAAGAAAGCAATTGCGATCATGGCTACTGGAGACACAGTAAACTGCCTTTTTTAAGAATATTTAAAAGATAGCTAACCTGTGCACAAGTGCGCCCTTTTGTCTAGCTGTAAGTTTATGATGGACCTCTGATTTATCAGGATCAAGGGCAGGTTGTGATATTTCTAGCCCTTCTTTCTTAATGACATATAGATAGCTGTAAAATTTGTAGCAGACAGTAAGAAGCAGAACCAGAACCTACATTAAAGGAATTGACGGAATTTAGAAGTGGTCACATTACCGTTGAACACTGAAATTTTCAACTCCAAGGTCTTCATCCCAAAGGAAAATGTATGAATATTGAGACACAATATCAGGATGTAAGAAACGCTTTGCAAACCACCTGAAGGAAAGACAATTATATAAATATTGTTGCCAGAAATTCAATAGACATGACGTGTTATCAGCCCCATGTGAATACCATTTAGTTTGATGAGCAGCAACAATATGCAATGCACGGGAACTCCACCTAAATTCCTTCCAGTCATCCACATTGCCATCATAATGAAAAAGCATCACGAAAAAATTGTTTACAATAAACTGCAGGAGAACAATGTATAAACATTCAGTCCAGTAGTTGTTAAACAACTCAATCATAACTTCAAAGAAAATTGTCTTCTCACCTTCCTCACAATTTTGTCCACACTTTCCTTCTGCTTCCAGCCAACAGCCATGGCCAACAAGTTCATATTTTTTTTCTGGGGGATAACAGAATTGGTAAACACATAAAAAGGAAGAGATATTTGTATCAAATTACAGAGGAATCCCAAATCATTTAATGTCATGAGTGGGCAGTAATGGCGCACGTGTACTGCATCATTCTACACAGAGGTTTGTAGGATATAGACAAAAATTTATATCATTCAAAAATAAAGACCAAATTGCACATCAATTTAATTTTCAGATGAAAGGAGCCACCCATAGCATTCCCAATTGTGGCCCTGAACTAAGGATCAGAAACATAATGTAATATATTCTACAGATTAAGTTTCATCTTAATTAAAAGACCAATATAATTGGTGTCAGATTCATCTCAATTTGCGAAGGTGAAAGAAAGATGGGCAAGACGCAAGCACAAAAATTATTGACATCATGACATAGTATTTGCTAACCTTCTTAACAGGTGTTCCCCACAGTGGCCGCATTTCTAAGTCTGAAGTGCTTGAAATAATACCCTTTGGCAACCCCTCAGTTCCAATAGGTTTACATTGCCCCTGAAAGAAAAGGAAAGCAATACAAGGAAATCGTACATGTTACATTCTGGAACATCATTATTAGAAATGATACTACAAGTCCATAAAACCCCATTTACTTTGACAAACCTCACACTTCTTAGATCTTGTTCTCATAAATTTATTCAGCATGTCCTTTGGTGAGAGTCTCTGCAATAGTAGAGCTCATCATTGTCAAAGCAATTACTTAAGCTAAAAGTCAAAGAAACCATGAATATGAGCTAGCACAATTTAAGCTTAGAATATGGAACAAAAGTGCATACATGAGCAGTCTCGATTGAAAATATTTTTGGGTAAGGAATTCACAAGTCACAACAGAAACATGTGCATGCTTAAAAAACATTAACACTACACTCTACATCCACATGATAAAAATATAAATTAAGAGCAAATCAAACAACAATATGTACCTCTTTATAATCTGTTATAACGAATGCACTGCCAATAAACACAGCAGCACAGAGCAAAGCCAGAGTCGGAAGGGACTTTATTGAAAAGGATCTTCGTCTTTTAGAACCAAAAGAAGTCACCTGGTTGGTAAATGATACACGAATTTAAATATCATATGTAATAGGTAGATAACTCAATGAATTTCGGTATTTATATACCCCAATGTATTTTATCATGCAACAGGAAGACAAACCACAGTAATACATTCATGACATAGTTATTGACCAAGGTTTAGGACTCCTGCAAATCATTGAAAAATCAACACAAAATCTTTTGCATGTCACTTACATGGTACCAGCTGAGATTCATGAATTTTAACCATCCTAATTACATTTATACTCTTTCTAATCGAACGAAATTCACCCGACAAAAGAATACCCAAGAAAAAATTCTAAAACCTTTATTGTTGGTAGCATTGCGTACGCACAAAACTCCATTATACACTATCAGTCAGCCAGCTATAACATGCACTAATGTAGTATGAGCCTCTGCTTACTGTATACTTAATGCAAGAACAAAACTTTAAATCTGATAAATCCCAGCTGGTTCAATTCTTGACAAGATTTATTGCTAAGCCTTATCAACAGCATAAATGCTTAGTCTAATAATCAACTAACAACAAACTATTGAATTGTTATTAAATGATTCTTCTGGTTAATCTACCCACATAAAGCTCAAAAGATGGTACATAAACTACGGCTATTAGATCCGCCACACTCACTTCTTGATCCCAATTAGGATTGCTGGTGATTCACTACCAGACCTATGGTTCCCAATTCAGAACTTGATCACTGATGAGTAATATCCAGTAACAATAGTTTGTCATAAAAATCAGAAGTACCCAAAACTTCATACTAGTAGCTAAACATTGAAATTCTTCTACTTTCATTTAATAACATTGGATAATCAGAACCCAGTTTTCTCCACTCATCTATCTCAAGACCTACAGATTGTAATTAGACACATTGATTGCTCCATATCCATCCAGACACTAGAATTTCGCTACCGAAATCGATTGAAATCTTTTATATCACTAATTGAACATTATGATCCACTTAGGCACCAATATTGGACAATTTACTTAAAACCCAGATTTTTCTTTCAGTCATCTTTCTCAAAACTTTTTTTTGAGGAAACATCTTTCTCAAAACTTTGGTAAAAGTGATGGGTTTTTAATTATTTAGTATTTACATAGCAGTACTAATATTCATGTGACATTGATAAACCAACCTAGTACAATCAATTCATTTTCCCATTTCATCCAAATTCCATGAAAAACAGAAAATACTAACACAATTTATTCAGTTAATTCTCCACTCCCTACTCATAATTTATTTACTACGTATTAAAAGAAAAGGAAAAAAAAAGTATGCAATAACAATCCAATCAAATGTTGCCAAATAACATACAAGTATAAGAGCATGATAAAGCTTGAACTAGAGCATTCACACATCATAAAATGGAATAAAACTATAAAAATCAAAACTTTAAAATGATCATAAATTATTAAATAAGAAAATAAAAACTTACAAATTTGGAGGACTTCATTTTCTGGGAAAAATGAAGAGAGGAAGAAAAACAGTGATATTGAAAGTTGATAAATACTGTAGTAAAGGTGGAAGTAATAAAAAAAGGTAGAAAGAGAGGGAAGAATGTTTGAAGGAGTGGAGAGTGGCCCAATAGTTTTGGTTGCTTAGCAATTGATTAAAGTCTAAAAATGGCAGCATTTTTTTACTTTCAAGGAGGAACAAAGTGGGGACTCTTGTGTAATACTTTGTTAAGTTACCGAATATAACTACTCGTATATAAGTGTGGATAGATGTATTTTTTTGTGTTTGGCCGGGTTACATATCTGGCTTATGGTGGGTGAGTCTCTTAATAAAAGTTTTATGTATTTGATGGAACTCGAACTCGAAATTCTCGTTAAGCGGTATCAAACTATTTACCATTTATGTCAACTCTTGTTGGTATTAAAATAAGTACATATTTTTCCATTAAAAAAATAAGCAAATATTTATATTTTGACTCTTGAGTTATTAACACGTTTTCACTTTTTACGGTATTTAATGAATGTGGGTCTCACATGATATAACTCATTTAAAATGAGGTTGGGAGATTATGAAGAGTATAATTAAATTAGTCATAAGCTTGAAACAAGGGCATAGTTAACTTTCACAACAAAAAAATAAAAAATAAAAAAATCCAATTATAGTGTGTTGTAAGTATTGTGACATTTGTTATTAAGTACCAAATCCATCATCCTTCCTCTCTCAAAAGCTCTAGCCTTTCGATCTCTTTCGAAAGACAAAGGTTTTTCGACCTCATTCGAAAGACAAAATTTATCTTCTCTTTTCGGGGGGGGGGGATTTTTAGTTTTGAATTTTTGATATTAGATATAATGGATTGTCGTGAAATTATTTCATCGGTGAAAAAGTTATCAAGTTTTCGAATACAGACAGATAAATCAAAAGGAAAACATCCTTACGTTTACAAAGGATTGTTAGATTGTCTCTCCAACAAGGCTGTATTTTCCAACGATATAAGCGAGAGATTTTTCACAGTGCAATATCTACTCGACAATAATTTTAATATTTATTTACATGGACAATTGGGCATAATAGTTTAGCATGACTCAAATCCGAAATGACCTAACCCAACTAGACTTGGCTCAAACCGACTACCATTGGAATTGAAGCCTCTAAAAGAGTGGAGATGCAATGCTTCGTGCTCCGTACTCATTGTTAACATCTTTCGATTATTCAGTACAGGAGTGACAGACAATTGAGTATGGAGGTCAAAAAGCTAATTATTATAAAATTAATAATAGTAATGACATTTATTTGTTGTTGTAGGTGGCAAGTGGAGTAGGCATATTTACACGTAAATTTGAATGTATTAAGTTATTAACACGGTGTTTAGCTTTAAATCATGGTAAAACCTGATTGACTCATGTTACACTTTGTATAATTTTGTCGGTGGACTCACATGTTCTTCACTTAATTTAATTAATGACCCAACAATTTAGATCATTAGATGCGTGTAAGCTTAACCAAGTTCGTACTTCCCCCACCCCCACCCCTCATTTGTAATTTATACGAAGTATAGAACTTAATGATGAGGGATAACTCAAGTGATTTAGAACTTTTTTCTTCGATTTCAGGAGAACTTTTTTCTTCCCCCACCCCCACCCATCCTTGTGGCTCTCTAAATACAAAAAGGAAAAAAATAATAATAAAAAAAAAAGGAACTTAATGAGTTGATTTACATAATAATCAGCACGGAGTATTAATTTTTTTTTTTAATTATTACTATTGTAATTATTTGCTATATACCATTTACTTTTTAATATTAATCTTTTATTGAAAAATTCATCCAAAATCCAATAAGATATACTACCCCCGTTTCATATTATTTGCAACGATTAGACATTTTTCCTCTCTACTTTATGTCAAATCGTTGCAGATAATATGAAACGGAGGTAGTAAGTAAAGAGCCATAGGCCTTGTTTGGTAAAGAGCTTTTAGCTTATTTTGTCCAATTACATACAGATTTGACCAATTAAAGAAGCTAATTTCAGCGTCTGATAAATACTTTGGCTGTTTTATTTAGAGAGTAAGGATTTTTTACTTAAAATTAAAAAAAAAAAATTAAAAAAAAAAAAGAATTAGAGAGAGTAAGGCTTAATTTAACACTATATTTGTACTTAAAAGGGCAAATTGTATAGGGCTGGGGAAGCGTGGCAGTGTGCTACTGCTTAAACCTGAAATTTGGTAGGACCAATTTTTCATTTATCAATCACTCCGTAATGTCCGTATCATATGTCTATCAATTTATTCACACTTTACGAGTGATAATCTGCCAAGCGTACAATGACTTCGGAGAAAAAAAAACAAAAATCAATGTCAAGAAAATGACAAATTAATAATCTACTCGTGTAAACAATACTGTTACTGTATTGTATGTCCCAAAGTCATCATGGGTCAATTTATAAAATTAGTTAGCTTAATTATTCTCTAAAGATAATCTGAAATTTTTTATATTAAAAAATGGAAAAAAATATGCTACAAGAAAACAAGTTATATTAAGGCATTCAGTAATACAAAACACAAAATTAATTCCATTAGGTCATCAAGTAATGTTGGAATGCTTCATGAAATTACTCGCACTTCCAATCTAAATACGAATAACATATACCGACAATTTATTTTTAAGCATGACAAAGTATGGGGCATCATACGAGTTATAAGATACATTATAGGTGTAGAATGATCTACTCCGGATTAGACGTGCGTGCGTATCTCATATTCTCATCCAAGAAAGAAATTGAAGGTGGTGTTCACTTCAGCACAAGTGATTGCTCACTAAAGGCCTGATATCACACGCCCAGGCCATGTCTTAAACCCATACGACATATCTAAGGCGGAAAACAAAATGGACATCTTCTCAAGGACCATCCCCAAAGCTTGAACTGCAATTTTGCAAAACAAGAGTTGCAGCCTGCAGGTCAGTCTCACAGATACACAAAATGCAGTACACATACGACTTGTGCAACTTTGACACGAATCCGATTGCAAGTGTCCATGTGGAAGGGAACCAAAAATTTAGAGATCGAGTCGGATACTATGCTCTTGATCTCCACTAAGTCCACTCTCCAAACAGCAAACACCAGATTCGGTCCTCACAAAGCACCGGGGGGAGATATTACTTTGTTTGTGCAGGGAAAGGTATCTGATGTTCAGGCAAAATTAACTGCTTTAAAAATGTACCCGCCTTTATCCTTATTGTAACACCACCATCTGGCACCTGTAACTTCAAATTACACCAAAAAGATTAAACTCCTCAATGTAAACTGGCCTATCTCCTAAATCAGCTGAAAACACAGATAAAAGACAAATTAAACATCGTGCTGCATAAGAGTTTAATACAGATGAGCAACAGAAAAAAGAGGTGAAAACACAGAAAGCCATAAATATTAGGGCATAAAATCCCTTGCTTCATCATGATTAATTCAAATCATCTTCTCTGTAGAATTAAATTAAAACATAAACAAAATCGCGCTTGAGTTGAAGAAGAATAAGAACATTTACATCGAAAATGAATAGTTAACCTATCAACAAATTCACAGGAAACGGGTGACTACAGACTACAGCATTGGCACTACTAATGAGCAACATTCCAAAAAGTGAAATGGCGGCGATGCTCGATTACTTAGGATCTCAAATCAAGTGTTTCCTTCGGGAGGCCACCCACCCTTTGGTAGGATGTTTTACCCCTAATAATGGGGTTCTTGCCCACAAAGGCTTAACACTCCTTTTTCTCAAGTTCTTCAATAAAATATCTAAATCTCTTAATAGTTTTTTAAAAAAATATCAATACTTCGATCCGTAATAATGAGTCATCAAAACATTAACCACCTGGATCACCAAACTCACCAGTACATCCAAAAAATGCACACAATAATGATAAATTCCCCAAACCAAGTATATATGTACAAATCAAAATAAAGGCTTCAACAATTAATGATGAGCTCAATTCAACACCATATAAATGATAATCACCCATCAACAGTTAAAACATCGCTGGGGCAACAGCATACATATTTTTTTTTTTTAACAGACAACAAAATACATCAAAATTAGCATAACTTAACAACCTCAGGTTGAGAGCAGGAATCCAATTTGAAATCAAGGGATCGGAAATGGCCACTATCATGTTTCCATGTCTTTAAAACAGACCTGATCCGATAATATCACTCACTGAAGTATACTCCCGGAGTCCTGGGAGCCTTTTCTCATAAAACAATAAATGACAAAAGATAACCCAATTTGATCATAATAAACCAACAAATCAAAACTGCAAATTAAAACAGCCTGACTTAACTGCATGTCTGCATCTGAAAATTCTAATAAATGTAATTGATTCAAATAGCATCAGCACTCAGGCACAAAACTAAAGTAACAAGCTGCCTAATTATATATCCTGAATATGACTCACTTCGATGATACCAAAGCGCAACCAACAGCTATATAAAGCACCACTCCTAGTAACAACAAACTAAATAGTGTTGGTTTCAATACATGTTTGTCAAACACATAAACTTATTAGTCAGGGGTTAGGACATCAGACATAATTAAGCAATTCATTACGCATAGAGTCTCAAGAGTGGTACCTGCCAAGGCCGCCTAGACTTTGCAACACATTTAATTTTCAGAAGTGTCTACAAACTAAAACAAAAGGTTACAAAGGAAGATAGATAGGGGCAGAGGGAAAACCACCCAAAGAAATATTTCTGTAACTTACAAACATACAATTATTGATAACAGTTCAAAGAAAATCAATAAAATATACACTACTTTATTAAGCATGCATAAGGAGTAGAATATTATAGGAAATATTAGCCACATCATATGTTTCAAGGAATCAAATATAACCCCCCTTCCATACAAGTGACACAAAGAAGCGTATCATAATATTTCCGGAGCCAATCAGGGTGTCATTCAATGATTAACATGGAGCAATTATCCCTAATCTCTTGTTAGGGCACTAAAAGAACAAGCATAAAGGGCTCAAGTATTTCAGTGAAGTGTTAATCTTGATAAGGGGCGCTGGTTGAGGATAGCAGTTTAAATTATTTCCATTTGCCAGTAAGGATGGAATGTAAAAGGATCAAGAGAAAGGTTAAGCTGATTTAAATTACAAAGGCAAAAAAAAAAAAAAAAAAAAAAAAAAAAACAAATTCCTTTACATGTGATCCTTTGATGCCCTTTTCATCACCAAAAAGAGAAAAGGAAAAAGTAAAGATGTACATTTGCTATTTTGCTAAATGAAAAACTAGGGTTTCTTTAGGTAGTCTTCTTGAAATGTTTTTCCTAATCACCATCTATTTGACATTGACATCAATGAATCAATACGTGACATGTTGTCCACTTGTCCTCAACAATGTGTTCAACAAATTGGAATATAGGTGGTGACTTCAATGGCTTTTGAGATGTTGGGGAGAGCTTAAGGAACTATAGGGGTGGGGTGGAGGGTAACTCACATGAAAACATGCACTTTTAATTGAAATTAAAAGTGGTGTGATCTCTATTCAATAATAAATAATATTGTTTGTTTCAATTGGTAAACTGGCATTTTTTGTAGTGCCTTGTTTACATCACCTTTATTTCCCCTCTACGCTTCTCCAGCTGTAAGCTTTGTATGTGAACAACACATCCACATATACGAGGAGAAGAGGGGTGTGGAAGAATAGTAGCTTGAGAGAGATATCCAAGGTTGGAAAGCATTTGGTTTGACATAGGAACTTATAGGTGCTTTGGAAGGAAACTTAAAACATGAGATATTTAAAAGGCAAACTTTTGAAGTCAATTGATTTGGATGTTAAGCAACTATATTCCCTTCGTCCTTCTAAGATTGCACTGAATTCATTTTTGGTTTGTCTATTTGAGTTTGCTTTATAACATATACAACCATAAGGAACCACCACTTTAGTCTTACATTACTACATTTAATTCCACCAATTTCCTCTTAACAACTTCACACAACCAAATTAAAACTTAAAGATGTAACCATACTCTAACTCCCTCCAATTTCTTTTTTTTGGTTGTCTATATATATCACTCGCTCTGCTCCTTTTATGGTAAGCCTTTATTTGTACCTTTTCTTCCTTCTAAAATAGTGTGCCATTTTCTCATAGAGCAAATAATTTTAGAAAGAGGGAGCATTGCCTAGGGCCACTTATGTAGGTTAACAATTACCATCTAATCAATTTACTTGTGCTTAATAGATTGTCATGGTGGTCCTAGCTAGCTAACCCAATTGGCAAGGTGCTTTCTTAAACTATTATCATGGTTGTCCCCTATATTTTTGTAAAAGATAGAGTGAATAATGTTGTATGCTCTTGTAGTAGAAAAAGTTATGGATGAGGCTCATTCAAAGGAATGGAGATGGTTTATGATTTAGATTTTAAAAAAAGCTAAATAGGGTGAGTTGGACAAATGTGATACTATTTTGAGAGAAAATGTTTAGTGGATAATAAAGACACTAAGTTAAACATTGCTTCGTACACACATTCCCTAACAACCATGTTAGGTGGCTAAAGCCCTTAAAGAGTGATAATATCTTCACAAAGGTTACTTATCCTTTTTCTATCCACAATATTGAATACATGCTTCATAAGCCACTCTTAGTGGGGGTATACATGTTAGTGGGAGCAAGTATGGGGTATAAGGTGGGGCGATAGGATGTCCTTTGTATTACATTGCTTGTAATTGGTAAATTGTGCGTTTTGTTCTTAGTGTCTTAAGGGTAAATTGTGTGTTTTATTCTTAGTGTCTTAAGGATAAGCACTTTGCTTTCTCAAATTCATAAGGTGCTTTACATAATGCTTATATGGCAATCACATATGTGGTATCTAATTATCTATGGCTTAAATAGGGTTGATAAGGGTTTGAGCCTCCCCAGAGCCACTTTACTTTTAACTATTCCTTACCAAGAAGTTTCAACGACTCAAGTTTGAAGATCCAAAATTTTTTATAAGACGCTAACATACGCAAGCACTTGTTTTTGTTACTCAGTGAAAAATAGGAACCACCATACAAGCACTGCACAATCACATAAAGATGAAAAGTAAAGAGCTTACATATTGGCTATGAAATGAATCAAATCATGTAGATGCAGAAGCACAATAAAGAATGGAAGAATTTACGCATATACTTATGCCACAAACACGGAAACACCTTCAGAATTGCATTAATCAGAAAATTAAGGTGGGAACCTGGCAGCCAACACTTGAAAAACAAGTAATAAAGTTAAACAGTGAAGATAATTAAATTATCTAAATCTTTGTACAGTTTAGTAGCAAATAAGTGTGCCTATATAGAAATTAAAAACATACATAGTATTTGGTTGATAAGAATATCAAATCTCTCAAACTATAGAACAAAATAATAAAACAATAAATCATTTTTTAGGAGTATGAACGATTGATACATGGATCGGTGATGGATGCTATGTAAGTTCCAAAATAAAGCATCATTTTCATTGCGATGAATGGTAAAATAATAGCAACTAAGAATGCCAAGCGTAAGGAGACTTCATACAAGGGGTGTGCAGAGAGGCACGTAGTTGTGTTTATAATGATATCCAATATAATCCAATGCGTGTGGAAGCTAAGCAAGTACAAAACGTCCAATTAATACAAATACATTTGATGTTGAAATAATGCTAAATTCCTATCTGTACGGCAATGGACTATAAATTTCCATTCAACACAATGACACTAATACATCTCAGCACAAGGCCGGGAAGCCCAATTGATGAGGTAACTCATGACAAACTGAGGGATAGATCAATGAAGGCTTCAATAAAGGCATTGTTGTATGGTCGTGTATGAGCAACTGGACAAGGCCTATTCCACCAATAATGCAACTATTACTCATTCACTCCTATAGCCCTATATGCATAAATTTAAATGACACCACTATCATCATGACTGTCATGATGATGACTATGTTTTACTAAAACACCCAGCACTGCACTGGGAAACCTAACTGGTAAAGTAACACGAGACAAAGCAAGGAATAAGTAAATAATGGCATTGTGGTAATGTCATGTATGTGCAAGACCTAGCTAACTCCATATGCTATTACTCCTTTACTCCTAATAAGCACAAGCTTGAATAACCCCAGGCTCTACTGTCACCAGGATTGCCATAAACATGTCTGCCCGGTACATAAATATATCTTCACATAGGAAAACGAACAGAAAATCAAATTGGGTAAAATATAACTTGTCATTCAAAATAGGTACCTAGTTTCTTTCCTCGAAAAAAAGGGTACCTAGTTCCATGTGAAAGTCAAAATATTAAAACATTATTAGCAACAATTTATCTCCACAAATAATCTACTATTTTCACTCGACTTGCCTCACGCATCTAGAAATGAAATTGTGAATGCTAAAATAAATCCGAACATTTTCTCCTTAAACAATATAACATAATCACTAAAAAACCTACCTCCACAACACAAACAATGATCTAAAACAGTGAAGGATTTTTCTTAATGTTTATTAACTCTCGAATACTACATGAGTAAAACTGAACACAAATACTAGTAATAAATTCGAAAGGAATCCCAAAAGTAAAGGAACAAGCATACACATCCACTAGTAGACTAATAGTCTCAAATATTCTTTAAGGGCTGATTATTTATGGATGTCAAAAGTTCTCTACCCAAGTACCAACTAACATTCTACCAACATAATTAATCAATTCAAAGTCAAGGGCAAATTTACATTTTAAACAGATGTGTAATTTGATTTGAATAAGAAATAAATCTATGCAAGAAAATCAATTCTTGATGGGATGATTTTAAAAAATTCCACAATGATAAGAGAAATATGAATGTCTATCCACTCACATGAAGATGCCAAGCTGTGCATATAATCACCATTTATGTCCTATAAGAGTGAAGCGCAAAGAAATTTCCGAACATGTTCAATTGTTCATGCAATGTGGATGTTGTTGAAGCATGAGGATAGAAGATAACAAGCTGCCTCCACCTTTAGATTATATGACAATGAGAAAGAGCACGCATGTACACTGTAGTTACTTGCATTACTTGCATAAATCTCGACAGGCTTGCTTAAGCGTGCTCTCTCTCATCGTCAAACAATCTTTAGATGAATAATTATGAGAATCAAAGCCTGCAATAAATCGATGGGAATCAATCTTAGAAACAATGGGCATAGAAAGTGAAAGCAAATACACAAGTTCTCAGACAACAACATATATCTTGCAATCAAGCTAGCTAAGCAACTATAACACATAGTCTCCAGAATCATCATGATTCTACAAAAATTAAAATACAATCAAAGAGGTATCCAACAAAGCAGGAAGCAAGTAATATTGTAGCAATATTGTAAAGGTTAATTTATTATTCCTATAACAATATACGACCCCAAAATCTGATACACTGAAAGTGTTAAAAGGGCTCCATATTTCTGCAAATCTAAGTTGATAAAGCTAGAAACATACCACATGTTTGCAAGAAGCCATCTAGAAACAGAAAGATCAAAGCAGTGGCAAATGAGAAGTTCCGTTTAAAAATGCAATAAACCTTGGTCTCATTTTTTAAAAAACTAATATTAAAGAAAAATATATTGAGCCAAATTGATCAAAGATGGAGCACACAACAATAAAATCTCTGTTACAGTGACAATAACATATTGTCGACGGCAGAATGACAATGGATTAACAACATTGACATATGATTTTCTTATTACAATAGTCGATCACATGGTTGGTCGGTTCGTCCCAATCCCCTCATAATTGTGACATGATTTACACTAATAAGGCCCTTCATAATAGTTGAATCATTTCAATCTTCTATCCATCACTTCATTAAAGTGGTGGAATATTTGAAAATCTAATAATAATTAAACCATTATCTATGATAGGAAAGTAACACCTTTTTCCGGACATCCCAAAATAGTATACGTGACTATTAATTTCGAACAAAAGTAACACATCTTACGCATAATAGTACCAATTTTCAGCTCAAACAAAAATTGAAGTCACCTTCAACTCTTTAAGTGCTATGTAGCAAGGATTCTAATCCTGAAACAAATAAAAAATACTAGGAAGGATGTGATTCTCAAGCAGCCAAGTGAAACCTTTAAAACTTGATCTACATCAATGGCGTATATATGTAAGAGATGCTACGCCATATTGTCATACATATAATTTATCCAAAAATAATGCATGACAAGTGTAAGATCAAGTTTTTAAAAACCAAGTATTTAGTTAGAATTTTTTTATTTTTTTTTTTGGCTAAAGGTCTAACTTCTAAGTTAATATAAGCTTTGATATTATTTGCACACTTGTGCATTTCAAAGTTTACAGCTTTGATTTTTAAAACCATTGTAATTATTACTTTTGTACGGAGCGAAATATGGATCAATGTCAACCTAGGAGGGAGGGAGGTGAGAGGAAGAGAGCAACAAGGACAACGTTAAAATTTCTATGCCAAAGGCCCCCTAGATCTTCATATTGGGCTGTCCTAACTGCTAGGCTATGTTAATACGTCCTCTCCATTCAAATGACTAGCATAATTGGATGCTAATAACTCCCTCTATTCGGAATCAATAATCATGTATACTATTCTAAGATGAGCGAAAAAAGTTGTCACAATTCCTAAAATAGAAAACGTGCTTAGATTTCCAAACATACCCCCACTTCAATAGGGTGGTGGAGTGAAGATGGAAACGAGCCAACTATTATGAAGGGTATTTAATTTAAGTTGAATCATGGCGGATCCTTAATTATGAGGGGTTGAAACCAAGTATTTTTTATAACTCCAAACAAAGGAGTATGTTCAATCTTAACCACATGATGTCAAATTTAAACATTTTTATCACTAATCAAGCAGCACATAGAAAAAGGTAATCCAAAACATCAATATCACATGCATGATTAAATGATACAAAACTTCTAAAAATCACAAAATTAAACTAGCCACACCCAAATACCCAGCATGTATTAACAAGAAACAAGTAATTAACTATCTGTTTTAAATCACAATACAACTGAAAGGGATTCCATAATCAATTACGCCGCGTCAGTCAATTACACAAACAATAACTTATGAGTTTAAAATCAAAATTTAAACACCCACTAATCATAAATAAACAGCATGAAACTAAATAGAGGAGTAAAAAAAAAATCCAGTATAATTTGAAAAGTCAACATAAATTATACTAAAACAAGCAATAAAATAACTGAAACTAATAAAATCATACCAGAAACCCTAAATTCATGATTGAAATCAACTATTTCTTCATGAAATACCACTATCCAATAATAGAAAACACACCATATGAAATCAAATTATATATCTATAAAAGGAAATACATGTGAAAACAACCCTACTCAAAAAAACATCAACAACTCCATATTAAAAACATAAATTAATACAAAAAAATTCAAGTCTAATGCATGCATAATTATAAACAAACACTCAACAAACTAACAATTAACAAAACCCCCACAAAAATTCACAACACAAAAACATTTTTAATGACTTTAAATTTTTAAAAATAACACACGCAAAATAGAAAATCACACAATTCATGTAAAATACAACTAAATTTTAATTTTTCACAAAAAAAAATGAAATAAAATCATAAGGAAATCAAAATAAATACTAAAAAAAAGAGAAAGATGAACCTTCTTGTTTTTGCTGTTCATGAAAATGGTAGAGAAGAGAGAGAAAATAAGAGTACAATATTTTTGGTGATATTTTTCCGGAATTTTGTAGGGTTTAGATTTGGAGGTGGCAAACCAAAGGACAAAAGTCAAAAAAAATAAAATTAAAAAACGAAAATAAAGGAAAATTCTACAGTGCGGTACAAAGTTGAGGAACAACTAAGATGGGACCCACAAAGAAGAGAAACATGTTGAAATAGAAGCGGTTCACGTGTGGGGACACCTTATCAGGTGGTGCCACGTAAGAGGGTGTACGGGAACAAAGGTACACTCTGATACACAGAATTGGATAAGCATATCAAAGATATGACTACATTTATTTTTATTTACTTTTATATTTTTAATAGAAAAAGAAATGACAAGATTTGACGAAAGGGACTAATAATATAGTGAAAAAAAGGAAAGATGATAAGGTATTTAGAGCATCATTATTGGTGAACACAAAAAAATGGTTCATGGGTTACTATCACCATTTCTCTCTCATCCACATCAACCCAACAAATCATTTACAATATTCACTTTAACAATGAACACTAAATAATGGTTCATCATCAATACTCCCTACCCCACCTTATTTTATTTTTGTAAATATAATCTTTTTTGTTTCATAATTATAATTTATTAATCCGATGTCAATGTAATTAATTGACGTATTTAATATTTTAATCGTGATTACTAATTAAGAAATTATCGCATTTTTTTATCAGCTTTTTAAAAAACTAATATTTTAATCGTGATTACTAATTAAAAATAATAATAACAATAATAATATTAATATTGGTATAAATAATAATAATATTGGTAATTATAGAGGGGATTTTTGAAGAGAAAAATATAGTAGAAAAAAATTGAAAAAAGTATATCAATATGGGTGTCTATTTATAGAGGGGAAAAAATAGAGTCGTTGGTAATTTTTTTTTTTTTATTTGTATTTTGTAAAATATATCCGTTGTAAAATTACAACGGATATATTTAAAACAGTACACACGTGTCAAGCAGCGGCTGGGCCAAGTGGCGCGCTCCCAGCCGCTGATTTCTATTTTTTTTCTGACCTTTAGCAGCAAAACGACGTCGTTTTGCATGAATATCAGTCCAAAATATTGGTGGGGCCCACAGCGAATTAATTCATGCAAGTGCTTGCTCCTGCAATCGAACCCATGACCACTCAACATGAACAATTAAAGAGTTTGTCATTAAGTCACCACCTTATTTGTTCACTCATTGTGAACTATTAAAATGTTCACCCTTAAAGATGCTCTTAGATTTGGACTTTAATTAGTAGTACAACGACCGAATTATTAGTTCCACTAAAAATTTTAGTTCTATTTTTTTATATTAATAATTTAAGTTAAATAGTGTGATTAAGACAATTATAAAGGTGGTACAAATGTGATGCACGATCCAATGCGGGTTGTTTTTATTTATTGATTTAATTTAATTTAATTTAATTTAGTGGGAATTAACACTAATAAGGTACAACTTTTTTGTAATAAAAATAATGGAAATAAACAAGGTATGATTTTATGGTTGTCAATATGAAGGTACAACTAACCTTTGTTGTTGTATATGTTAGTTTAGTTTGAGTGAGTTGTCAACTTGTCAAGTAGTAATGTACTGTGGCTTTCTAAGATAGTGGTGGGGGAATGACTTTGTTTAAGAATCCAATAATTAGTATTTGACATTTGTTGTTGGGGTTGTATGTGGAAATGTGAGATGGTTGTGGCTATTTTAGTTTTGTTTTATGAAAAGGGATGACAATTAGATAGGTTGTATGATACTTTAAATAGATGGTGTGTACCGTTGTACCTTATATTTACGTATATATGACGTCGATATACCTAGATTATTTTTTATGGGTGTTAGATGTATACTCGGATATATAGAATGTCCTTTTACTTGAAATTTTTTCTATGGAGGCGGATGCACCATGCTCCGTGCATCCATTTTCTCTTAAAAAAGGCGGAATGAACATTCCGCTGTTCAATAAAGAACATATATGTGTTTTGTAAAGAACATATAGTTATTTCATAAAGAACATTATTTTCATTCAACCACCATAAACTAAAGACAAAATTCAAAGAACATTTCAAAATAAATAATTAACATATGTCACAAATAAATATTCTGACAATTAAAGAACATTATTTAACTACACGTTATGTTCTTTACAATTTTATAACAAGTTCTTTTGCACTTTAACTGAATGTTCTTTACAATGTTCTTTACAATTCTATAATATGTTCTTTTCACTTAAATTAAATGTTCTTTATGTTTCTATGCAATGTTCTTTCCGCTTTTTTTTTTTGGAAGAGATGCACCACGTGGATCGGGCATCCGCCTACAAGAACCACGCTTTACCTTTTACTTTATATTTATGAAAGCCTAAAAGATATGATTGAGAAGCTAGAAATTAAATTTAGAATATAATATGGATGTATGTGGTACAATATAAGTTTGTAAGATAATATATAGGTGTTGTAATTAAGTGAATATACTTGTACATATTAATATTTATTTTGTTGTATTTGTGACCTGATCGATTTGTGTTTTTCGATGTTTTACGGTTAATTGTGCAGAATATAGTATCAGCAAGACAACAATGATTTAGAATAATGTTTAATATAGTTTAACTTTTATGTAAGAGTAATTAAAGTTGAAAAAAAAAGTTTAACATTAATATTTGTTTATAATCTATAAGTACCGTAATAAACGAACGATTTCCCTTAATATTGTTAAAATAGAAATTAATTCCCATTATGCTTCGTTTTAAAAACAAATTCCCAAAGTAGTGTCCACATAGGATTGGTTTTCGGTTCAACTTAAAACCGCTAACGGTATTAGCGGTTTTGCAATTTTTGTAAAATAAAGTCAAAGAGACCTGTTTTTATTGAAAGACGGTCTATTTGAAGTTATAAGTGTAATTTCTTGTTGTGGGCTGAGAATTAACAAGAACACAAAGAGACCTGCCGTATTGAAAGGCAGTCTCTTTGAAATATTTTTCCTAGACTATGCCTTGTGAATTAACCAAGGACGCAAAGAGACCTGTTATTGTTAGAGGCGGTCTCTTTTTTAAATCCGCTATCACCATTAGCGGTTTTAAGTTGAACCTAAAGCAAAAAAAACGATCCTACGTGGACACTATGTAGAGAATTTATTTTTAAATCAATGTATTATGGGAATTGATTTTTATTTCAACAATAATTATGGGAAATCTCTCGTAATGAACTTAGTGAAGGACAATTATTGTAAAAAGTAATTAAATGGAATTTAAATTTTACAAAATGAACATTTCAAAACAAGTAGTAAAATGATTAAAAACAGTGAAAGTAATATGTACGAGTTATACGTGGTAATTATTCATAATAGTCACAAGTAGTATATAAGAATAACCTTGTCATAAGTTTGTTTTGAAATGAAATTTCGAAGTTGCAATTTTTCATAATAGTTGTAATGTAAACTTTAAAAACACTAATTGGTTACAAATTAGAGATTGTGTAAATTGGAAGAGAGTAAATAGTGTGTGACATAGAACATTTGAACGAAGTACAAAGTACAATATTTGGAGAATAATGTAGTAGCTTTTGGAAGATCCATTGAAAGAAAAAGACATGGCAGCACCTCAACCCTAGCCTAGCTTAGTCTCATAGACTCATATAGTGGCAAATAATGCTCAACTGCTGAAGCCATCTTCATAAACCCTTAGCAATACAACAACAATTTGCACCCAAAAATTTTCCAACTTTAGCTAGGAAAGACATTCTAGCAAAAGGTAATAGATAAGACTTCCTAAAAATAAAGTAAAAAATCAAATTAAGAAATACAAACTATTTAAGTAATTCCCAAAAAAAAGGAAAAAATTAAAATGAACGGAAAAAAATAGTTTTGGGTGATGAGAACGAAAATCAAGTTTTGGAACACAATTTGAATTTTGAGATCAAAAACTTGCAGCAATAATTTAATATTTTAGTGTTCAAAAACATCGGATTTGGGTTATTTTAAATATTTGGACAAGATGCATCAACAAAATTAAATAAAGCTTGGGAAGGGGAAGGAAGAACGAAGTGTTTTCCTTCCAAATCTCTCCAATGTTGCAGAGATTATTTTCTTAGAATTTAATCCCTCCATTTCTCTTCCTTCTAATTCCCTTTATCCCTAATTTGCTATCTAAATAAAAGAAACTCCCTCATCCATTTCCCACCAATTCCTTCAACCTAAACACACTCTTAATGTTTAGAACAACTAGTTCAGCTAATTAAGACTACTCTAAAAGCTATTTGTGATGCATTTGCATTTCAGGAATGAGGAGTTTGAATTCATCTAAAATCCAAATAAGAGATTATACAATATATAAATAAAATGTTTACGATTGAGAGTCTACACATTTGAAAGCTTGGGATTGATTAACTAATTGAAATTGGATTTTTGCTTTTTCTATCTAAGGTCATTCTTTGATGCACCTTGTTCTAATTGCGCCCGGGGTGCAAGTTCAAGGTACTCAAATATTTCCGAACAGAACTACAAAAGTACAAAGGGTACTGTGCTAGACGAGAGTTGATACACATACAATCATTGTATGTGGTCCCTATATACAATACCATTAGAATTTTGACACATCATAAAAAAGGGAAGAAAACTATGAGTCAAATATAAATTCAATTCAAATGGAACTTGGACCCATAATTTTAACTAATAAAAACATGACAAATTGTGGTTGTATGTAGGGACCACATACAACAATTGTATGTGTAGCCTTTACAGGCGCACCTGGGTGTAATTATATCCGAACAGATCTACAAAGGGTATTGGACTAGCTTTGACTCTTTGAGTGATTAGATCACATTACTGCAACAACAAAGGATCAGATGGAACACAAATAGAAAGAGGATCCAAAGGAAATTGATTTTGACACACCCCTACGTGAGAAGAACATAAAAAACTGTGCTCTCACGTAGGGGTATGCCAAAATCAATTAATGGTGTACCAAAATCATTTCCCGGATTCGAACTGTTGATTGCAATATTCACTTAGAAATCAGGAAGTTAAAGATTGAATATCCACTAAAAAAAACAACCCAAAAGTGTGAAAATAATTTGATTTGATTCTTTTTGAAATGAAAATCAAGCTTCACAGCAGTATATTATCAAAAATTCTGGAATAAAAACAAAGGATTTCAACACCATATGTCTTGTAAT